TGACACAGTAGTTCTCTAGTGACCAAAGGGAAAAGGAAGTAACACTTAGCTCTATTTCTGCGAAACATTTTAATTAAGAGAGCAACTTGAGCAACCGCTTCTGCTATAATAGGGAAGGAGACAAAAACCTTCATACTTCCGTGCAATTTAGCAAGATCTTCATTACAACCATTTGCACCACTGCACTGTGCTGGCTCTGCAGTGACACAGGTGGGTGAGACTGGACACAACTCTGGTGAGTTCAAGGGGTTCAAATCTAGGATTTCCTTTTACAGATGGACGAGTCCTCCTTAGAGAAGCAATAAGCCTGAGGTCGCATACCAGAGTTAGGAATGGTAGGACCAAAATCTAGCTTTCCCAACAGACACATTTCTAATCGTGACATCATGCTTCCTAGTGCTGACCATGATCTTACAGATTTCCTGCAAAAATGATGACTTTGTAATGGAGAGAATTACATTAATTAAGACTAAGTAACAAACACAGACATGCATCACCTAACTAACAGGACCCATTCTGAGAACTGTCATCATCAGACTGTCATGTTGTGCAAAAAGCACAGAGTGTTCTGACTGAAACCTAGCTGAGGGAGGCCTGTCAAGGCATGGTCAACACAAGATGGGTGAAGCTGCTGCAGATGTAGCACGGCATGCTGTTTTACAGCACACTTCTTTTCCCCACAAGGGAAAAGAGTACACTCTAAAATAACAATTAAAACTCTAGCATACTAAATACATAAATCAATGTCATTTATTATTATTATTATCAAGTATGATGTACTGCACAGTTGTTTGTTCTGTATTTTTATAAAACTAGCAACACAATAGGTTTTTTCATACCAGCATCACCACAAACATATAAATAATAAATAACAGTTCACACTGTGACTTTATGACTACTATGTCATCATGAGACCATAGGAACTGTTCAGCTCCATTATAATAGACCACCATAAATGTGACCCATCATTGACTGAAATGTTCAGATGTGGTGTATGATGGCATTTAATATTATCCATCACTCCAACAGTATAGATCATATGACCCAAGTGACAAAGCAGAAACTCTCTGCCTGCTGTGTAGGACTTGAGACCATGTAGACTAGAATGAATTTTCATAAAACTGGCCATGACTGACAGCTAAAATAATTCATCCTGGCTACAATGCTGTCTGCTCAGTTGCCCCATGATCTTCAACCATATAGAATAAATAAAAAGGTCTACACTTTTATCCCTACCTGAAAAATCCAACAAATTATTAAGCAAGAACCAGTGAAATCTTTGCTTATTATTTCAAAATTCTCATTATCCTCAGAACACACAAGGAAAGTACATCTTCTCGCCCAACTCTTCCTAGGCCCCATTTGCTGAAAAGAGTCACTCCAAATTTCTACTACATTGACGGTATCTCTTGTTGAATTGTTTCTTCAGCTATTTTCCTTCTATTTCCCATTGCAAGACAAGACCTTCCAAAGCAGACACATCATGCTTTGTTGTATGGAAAAATATAGCACAGTATGTGACACTCTAGAAATATATTGCTATTATAATGATGTTAACATGGAATGATATATTATGTAATCATAAAGAAGAAATTCATAGGCTCTTCCACTGAACCACATCCCCAGCCCTTTTTATTTTTTATTTTGAGACAGGATCTGGCTAAGTTGCTTAGAGCCTTGCTAAGTGGTTGAAGCTGGCTTTGAACTTTCCATCTTCCTGCCTTAGCCTCCAGAGTTGCTGAGATTACAGGTGTGCACCACCACACCCAGCAATCTCTGTTTTTTAAATGGTAACTATAGCTCATTCAGTGTATTGTGATATTGATAAATTGGGATGTTTCTGTTACTTTTTATATTCTATCCTATTCTTAAGACATTTTTTTTTATTTTCCCACCTGTTTTTAGGATTTGTTGATGTTTCCTTTTTTTTATTTTTCTCAGTGTATTTTTTCACTTTTTTGGTGTGGATATCATGCCCTCTATATCTACTGTTTTAGTGATTGCCCTAAAAATATTCTCTAAATACTTGAGCTTAAAAAATCTAAATTGAATATTTTAATCCCCTTCCTGAAAAATACTCCTTATACTTACATAGTATTGCCCAATATTTTGTGTTCCTTTTTTAAATCTCCACAAATTAAACATCATCATAATTAATGTTTTTTTACAGACAATGTTCACTTAGGTTTACTTACATAATTACCATTCTCTGGGCTCTCGAAACCTTTTTATGGTTTTTTATTGATTTTTTAAAAAAATGACAGCAGAATACATTACAATTCTTATTATACGTATACAGCACAATTTTTCATATCTCTGGTTGTACATAAAGTATGTTGACACCAATTCGTAGCTTCATATATGTACTTTGGATAATGATGTCTATCTATCACATTTCACCATCCTTGCTAATCCCCTGCCCCCTCCCTTTCCCTCCCACCCCTCTGCCCTATCTAGAATTCATCCATTCCTCCCATACTCCCCCTCCCTACCCTACTATGAGTTAGCCTCCTTATATCAGAGAAAACATTTGGCATTTGTTTTTTTGGGGGGATTGGCTAACTTCACTTAGCAATAGTTTCTCCAATGCCATCCATTTACCTGTAAATGCCATGATTTTGTTCTCTTTTATTGCTGAGTAAAATTTTATTGTGTATATATGCCACATTTTTTTATCCATTCATCTACTGAAGGGCATCTAGGTTGGCTCCACAGTTTAGCTATTGTGAATTGTGCTGCTATAAACATTGATATGGCTGTGTCCCTGTAGTATGCTGATTTTAAGTCCTTTGGATACAGTCCAAGGAGAGAGCTGGGTCAAATGGTGCTTCCATTCCCAGATCTTATTTCATAATCCCAACGACCTTGGGACAAGTATGCTGTGCTAATTGTATTGACAATTAATCTAAGAATAAGAGAATTGTACCATTTGCCACATCTTGACCCTGGTGAAAATGGTGATTTCTCCTTAGACCCTCTCCTCAATCAGCCATCAGCTTCACCCCAGGAGAAGCCTCCATCAATTCCTGGCCTGATTTCCATGGTCTGAGTAGGTGTGCATCTGCTGGACTTAAGGCCTGAGACTTGAGACTCTAGATCTGGCACTTTAGCTTAACTTTTTTGTAGTTGCTTGTTTGGGGAATGTCTGTCATGAGCCTGTCATGTTAAGTGTGTTTGCAGGGGTTAGAGTTAACTTAGAATTGTTTGCTTTAGATTGATTATGTCTATTGCAGTACCTAGCATTAAGGATTCCCATTTTCTTGATTAAGAACCTATAGAGTGAAATTGTATTGAGTGATTTGTGTGAATAAAGCATTGAAAAGGGGAAATAAAAGAAATTCATAGGCTTTTTTAAATTTGATATAGTTGATATAGAGTCATTCTCTGAAATTCCTAAACTATCTAGGACCCTGATAAATTTAATATACTAAAAGAGTTACATAAAATTGGCTCCAGCCCTGGCCTGAGCATCTCTCCCTAGCACAGACATGGAATAACAGTTGGGGGCAGAGTTCTCTTGACAGCAGGGATAACTCATGTTCATAATCTATTAACTAAATAATTGCCATTCCATTATGAGAGTCCAGACTTTTTGCAAATATTCTTTCAAAACGATATTTCCAAGATTTAAAAAAAAAAAAAAAACGTTGTAAATACCATTCAGCATATGCAAAGATAAATGTAGTTCCTGGGGTAAGTAGTAAGGACAGAAAGCTTCCAAGTAACTTAACTGTGACCTCACATAACGCTATGAAAACTACAAACACTATAATTTCTATAGTGCCTTGTGGGCCAGAAACAGGGAACTTGTAAAAGTGAATTTGATCAAAAATGACTTATGATCATATGATCACATGGCACTTTTAGGTATTTAAGTTGTTAATGCTATTTGAAACATAGAAATTGACAGAACAGGTTTCTCCTTTTCTATGTGTGACAGTAAGATCAAGTCATTCCCAAGTCCTTGGTAAAATGTCCCCCTTTGAGGTACCTACAGGCTCACAAGCCACATGAGACAAGAAAAGACCCCAGGAAAAGATCATTAGAAAAGAAACCAGACAAGGAAAAAACCCCAGACACAATTGTTGAAGAAGAAATTGCAAATATTGATAATAATATATTCTGTGATAAACAGATTCAAGAAGTTAAAAATATAAAGGAGGGAAAGCAAGCAGAACCTCCCAATGCAGAAATTCCTGATGGGGAAACTCTTTTGGCCACTTCATCTCATCTTATTCTCCACAGGGTCAAATATAGCCTCATGCTGAGTTGGAAAACACCACTTACCAAATGTTTACGAATACACCAGTTTGTATGTGCTATGTCTGCCTTTCTTAAGTACCAAATGCATGGACCCAAACAGATTAGCTTTTGTTCTCTGCATTTTCCTGGAATTGTTACCCTTTGCCTAACCTGAAACTGCCCTCCTTTCTCATCTTCCTTGACTTTTTTTTGTTGTTGTTGTTGTTGTTGCTTGTTTTGTGTTTTGTTTTGTTTTGGTTTGGTTTTGGTACCAGGGATTAAACTCTGGAGGGCTTAACCACAGAGCCCCATCCCCAGCCCTTTTTATTTCATTTGGAGACAGGGTCTTGCTAAGTTGCTCAGGGCCTCCGTAAGTTGCTGAGGCTGGCTTTGAGCTCACAATCCTCCTGTCTCAGCCTCCTGCACTGCTGGAATTACAGATGTGTGCCACTGTGCCCAGCTGTCCTTGACTTTTAATATTAAAGTTCTATGAGTTCAGTACATTCATGATTCTAAATAATACTCCCTGCCTCCAAAGTATCCTCTAAAAGATGGACTTAATAATCCACATCTCACAACCAGAGTAACAGAAACAAACAAACAAAAATCCTCACACCAAAATAATTAGTAATCAACATAAGAAAATTTTATATAATCCAGTGTAATAATTATGTGATAATTATGTTTGACATATTTAAAGATTTCTTCCTGGTAGGACCGATGTATGGTAAATGAGATTCCCATTCATTTTAACTTACCTTTTGAATGACCTTATTAATCTCTGAAGTGTTGGGTGTATACAGTATTTTTCCATGTAACATAGGCTTTAGGAAAGACCACACCAAAGCACCATTTGGAGACTGGAGAATTTGTTGGTAAAGGTTCAAGCAAAATGGTGCTGTCACAATTAAGAGAAAAAATAAAAATGTTACATAACACAGATGCCCCAGGTTAAGAGAAACATATTTACAATTCCACAATACCTTCATTTCAATGAATGAAACAACTCTGAGCTTGAGAACAACTCTGAAAATGAGGATTAGTGAAGACAACAAAAATTATTAAAATGAATAGCCTTAATGTGTGCCCATACTAATGAATTACCCTAGTAATTTGACAGCTGTCCAAATTATCCATGAGCTAAGGAACATACTAGCCTACTGCCTCTGAGAACAGTACATTTGACTCCTCTTCCTCTATCTGCAAACTTACATAATCCCATGTTCCCAGTTCTACCAGTACTCTGTCTTTAGTGACACTCTAGGCATAAATACATAAAGACAAATTGTGGATGTGTAGGACAATTCTTACACAAGCCCTTGGATGGCTGCCTTATGTATTCTCCTGTTTTCCCATGAAGACAGAACCTATGAATGTGACAGCTTGGGAAGTAAACCAGGAATATTTTTTAACTCTCACCTTTTCAAACTAAGTGATCCATAGAGTGACGGTACAGACACTTGAAAATGGAAATGGCAATTATTTTTTTAAATGAGTTTTTAATCAAGAAAATTCTCATTTCAATAGTCACAATATTGCGACCTAAATTCACTTTTTCTTATGGAGTCAGCTTTACAAGTTGCTCCTGGATTTTCTTTCATGCATCTATGCAGAACTATCAAACTTGGCGCTTTTGATACATTAAATCATTTTATTTTCACTCAAATACTTAATTCCTCATGGTGGTTCTCATTATTTTTGTGAGACTGGATGACTGCAATTAAAAGTTCACTTAAATTAATTGTCTAAATCAATAGGTAATTCATTACAACAATTAGTAATCAAATATTATAAGGTTTTAAACTAACAATAAGTACATTAATATAACTAGTTCTTTTACCCACAAACAGAACACTTAAAATGGAAATTTATCTTAGCCTTAATATTATGATTCATAATATCAAAGTTTGAAAAGTACTGTTGTAATCCTATTCAGTGTTGATTTCACCTTTCCAACTTCACTTGAACAGAAAAAAAATTACTTTTATCCCAAATACAATAACATTAATAAAATAATATCCTAAAATATAAATTAAGAGCATGACTACATAACACATTTTAAAGCATTAACTATGGAGGTTGCTCTATATTTCATCAACTTACTCTTTTTACATTGCAAGCAAAAATATGTGGTAGCAATTTATATATGTTAGAAAAGACATGATCGTTTTATGTGCAGAACAAGGATTTTGAAATCAGGAAACCTGCCATCTGCCATCTGTGAGCTGAGTGAATTTAAGCAAGTCATTTAATGTTTTTAGATCTTCCAGCATGTCTTCTGAAGAATGAGAGTACTGGTGTTATCCAACAGTTCCTGTGACAATCATCTCAAATAAAGTATGAAAGGACCAACACAGAATGATCCTCAATGTTGTTAGCTAATGACTGGATGGCTGGCTGGCTGGCTGGATGGATGGATGGATGGATGGGCAGAAAGACAGTTGAATTAGAGGGACAATCACCCTCAATAATCCCAAGCACAAAACAGATGAGAAAATGAGGATTAGTGAAGACAACAAAAATTATTAAAATGAATAGCCCTAATGTGTGTCCATACAAATTAATTACCCTGGTAATTTGACAGCTGTCCAAATTATCCATCAGCTAAGGAACATACTAGCCTACTGCCTCTGAGGACAGTACACTTGACTCCTCTTCCTCTATCTGCAAACTTACATAATCCCATGTTTCCAGTTCTACCAGTACTCTGTCTTTAGTTACAGTCTAGGCATAAAATACATAAAGACATATTGTGGATGTGTAGGACAATTCTTACACAAGCCCTTGGATGGCTGCCTTATGTATTCTCCTGTTTTCCCATGAAGACAGAACCTATGAATGTGACAGCTGCCCCACTCAGAATGAGATTTCATAGTCAAGAGAAGGAATATTGAAGATGTAAATAAGATCCCTTAAATTGCTGACTTGGAGTTTATCTAAGGTCTAAGCAATCAGGTATCCTGTCTGAGCAATCCAATAAACTCTTTAAAAGAGACTGGAAGCCTCAGAGCCAAAGAGATACACCTCTGGCCTTGACATTGCCTCCCCAAGTTCTATAGCTGCAAGGAAAATAATTCTACCAACAACTACCTATGAGCCTCATGTGAGCACCCAGCCAAGACCAACCAACTCCTTCATTACAACTGTGTTAGAGCCTGAGTAGAGGACTTGCCAACCAGTGGCTGGGTGCTGACCTGCAGAAACTATGAGATGATGAATGTTTGCAGTCTTAAACCACAAAGTTGCATTTATACTATTGTGCTAAGCAGCTAAGACACATCATCTCCATTGTACCTTACATCAATCTTATGAGGTAGGTCTATTATTTCCATGTTGTATGTAGAAGAGAATAATATGGTTCAGAGGTAGAAAACAATGTGACCAAAGATGCACAATGTGTAACTCGTGGGGCAAGTTGAACAGTTTGAGCCAAAACCCTCCCTACCATGTTTACTCTGCCTTTGTAATAAAATGTATTCACTGGGCTGGGTGTGTAGTTCAGCAGGAGAGCATTTACCTAACTTGAGAGAGGCCCTGGGATCAATTCCCAGCACTGCAAAAAATTAAACAAAAAATAAAATGCATGCCCCTAATGTGGGACTAAGGAAGTCACTCATCAATCTGCTTCCATTTGAAATGAAACTTTGTAGACAAGATCTATAGGAGGCCACACAAAAGTTCTCTTTGTATAATGCTGCTATTTTGCAGAGGCCAAAATGTTCAAAGTCTTCACCAGCGGGACGCTCACCAAACCTACTGGTGACACAGGTGAGAGGCTCAGTTATGCTCAACAGTACTGGGACATTCCAAGGCCACCTGCTATGCCAGCACTTGGTGACTGCACTAAAACTGAAGGAGGAAATTCTACCACTGTTATGTACCACCAGCATTTTGCACAGACAGAATATTCAGTATGATACAGGGCTAATTATTAATACACAATTTTACCTAAATAAATATTGATTACTACTGTCTTACTTGAATCCTCAGGAATGTTGAATTTTTCCTTGTCATCTTCCAAGAGCTCGTTAACTCTGGGCAAATTAAGGAACATGTTATAATTGCTAAGGAATGATGCCTGGTCCTTGCAAACCAGTTTCATCACATTCTGCAAAGAACCAAAGGCTGAACTTCTAGCCTGGTCATTTTGGGAAACCTGAAAATTTAACAAAAAGAAATTGCAATTATACATTGACTTGAAACAATTCTCTGAAACACTTCTGAAAAAGTAGTCCCTTCTCCAGCTAAACATGTAAGTTCTTCAGTGAGTTAAAAGAACAGAATCTCTACTTTGAGTCTTTTCTGTCCTTGGGATACATTCAAATCATTGCAATGATTTGTCTGGCCAATGTACCTGGTAAAAGAGGAAAATTTCACCCACCAGTGAGTTCTTATTGTGTGTCCAGTAATAAATTATTAATCCATAAGATATCACTAACTCAGTGACAGCCTTAATGTGTATTTACACTGCCAAATTACCCCGATACTTGATAACTATCCACATTATGCATCAGCTAATGAAGATACATGCCTCCCAGGAAGCTCAAAGGACATTGTGATAGAGCTCCTCATTCTATACCTTCGACTCTACACAACCACCCACTCTTTGCTCATCTCTGGTCATTCCATCCCAGGCAAAGAGACTTCCAGCAAAAACTAATATCAAACTGCTAATCTAATTCAAGCTTGTGTTTGCATTTTCAGAAAATGATCTGTAATTTGTTAGCCAATTATTTATATGTAAATAAATGTTTTAAGGTTCTTGAAAGCAATTTGCTCTCTGAATTAAGTTAAACAGGCCCTTGAAATCTCATTTGTGCTAATAATTGAGTTAGTAATTTTGTACTTCATAGACAATGCATGAGCTCTCCCAGCCTCCATAATGGTGGGATGTGGATCAACAGCAACTCTGTCATCTGTTTTTTAGGGAGATGCCAACCCTCACTCCATTATGTTGTTGCCTCCAGAGACATCAAGAGACACTCTCATCCCTATATTTTGTTTTCCAATATGAATTTTAGATGTTTTTGAAGAGAAATAAAGGGAAAAGGGAGCAAATGCAAAGAAAGAGAAAATTTGAACATTTCCCCAGGAGCAAAGATCAAACATATACCTGTCCAAAGTCCGGCATATCTAGCAAGGCAGTAATTTTAAATGTGTGAAGAAATTCAGGAAGGTATTTGAAGACATGCTGGGCTCTGGCAAGTAGGGCACTGAGGCTGGAAATGACATCCAACAGGGAGTTGAGCAAGCCATTTGCTTCAGAAGGTATAAGAGTCTTCCAGGACAAAAAAGAGAGCGAGAGAGAGAGAAATCATAAAATAACCAACATTGTATTTTTACTCTCACAAGCATCTTTTCAGCACTGAAAACTTTGCTATTTGATTTTATTCTCTCTTCAACTTCATAGACATCTTTGCTGTACTCTATAAAAAATCTTCTTTATTAGAGTAGATAAAGCTGTTTTATTAGAGCACATTAAGTGGCACCAGTATTTTTAAAATGTAAACCAGGAACAAATGTGATCTATGGTTAAAACTCAAATCATTTCAAAACATTTCTTTTTGCATCTTTGGGGTGCCTAAGGTGGAAATTTGAGAAGAGGCTGAAAAGAAAACAATGCTTTTGTGTGAAGCAATTTACATTTATCTACTGCTCCACTGTATGTACTACATGCACTCATCATCTCAAGCCTTCTAACACTTTGGGGACTGTGCATGGTAATGCTCATTTTGTGGATTAGAAAACTGAGACTCAAAGACAGGAAACGTTTCCTGAAGTCTCAGAATGGTTTAGAGCTGGGAATTTAGCCCAGGTTCTTTAAAAACATAAGTGCTCTTCAAGAATAGCAGAATGAATCTGACCTAACTCTCCTATGTACCTCTATGAATATACCACAGTGAATCTCACCATCACATACATCCACAAGACACTAATCATAAAAAAGAAAAAAAAAAGTTAAACAGTTTAAAAGATCAGTAAAGCAGAGGGAAGGGAGCAAGGGGCAGGAAGAAGAGACTGAATTAGAGCAAATTATATTCCATGCTTTTACAATTATGTCAAAATGAATCCTAATGTTATGCCTAACTAAATAGAATCAATAATTTTTTTAAAAAATCTACTTGTGCTATCACCCTGTGCCTTGGTATGTATCCTACGTATTATTTGCATATTCTCCATTCTAGAATGCCAATTCCCTGGAAGCTGGACTTTACTTTCCCTGTGTTGATCACATATGTAGCTAACAGAGATAGAAAAGCATGTGACAATATTAGTTGCACAATAAATATGTATTGAATGAATGGTTAAATTAGCAAACACCACCTCTTTCTATAGGTGGGAAAAGTTCGAGGGAATTTCCTTCTTCCACATGTCATTTGCATACTGAAAACAGGGTTCTTTGCAGACTGAAGCAAATAACCCCAAGGTCACTATTTTATATTTCTGCTCATTAGAGTTCTGCTCCTGCCACTTAGCTGTAAGTTCTGTGGCTAAATTTTGGGGACATGAAATCACAGTTCCTTCCTTCACTAACATTCTGCTAATAACAGTGAGGTCCTGTCCATTAAGACAATAAAGTTGACTTAGGCAGGAGAAACAGCATTAGCTCTTGTCAGGTTTTATATTTGACTTTCTAATTACAGCTACAGCTAGAAGTGGCAAACAGCAACCCTGACTTGGGTAGGAAGTGACTGGGATTAGTCAGGGCACTGATGGGTGAATGTGCACAAGTAATCCAGCAAAGCATTTCTTAGAAAAGTCTTCAAGAATTCATTGTCAGCCAAGTGAAACAGATAGTGTATGAGCTTGGGTGCACTGGAGTTACACTGGAACCCTCGTGCCAGTGCATGGCACTGGAATTTGGTCTTCCCTCCCAGCTCTGAGCAGTATCAAATCAACTTTCAGAAAGCTGTGTACATGGAAGGTTCCTGACAGATAAGAGCATTGTTATTAACAGTGATAACATCTGCACTGTGTCTGGAAGACTGAATCGAATCTACTATCTTATCCTCCAAAGAAATCTTGGCATGGATGATGGCCTTTGTCAAAATAATTACTTAGGTGCTCTGAAGTACTAATTTCAAATCAGGGACTTCTGGCACATAATAGAGTGGCCAATGAAATGCTGGTGTATTGATGACCCTACATCTGCTTCCCAAAAGGCATACTGTAAAGTTGGCAGAGAGGGCTGTGGTGAGAGAATGAAGAAACTAAGTATTCATTCCACCAAGAAAGATGTGGGCTCACAAATTATGAAGACATTTAGGAAATATTCATCCTCCTCGAGGCTTTAAAATGCACTCATTCTGAAAATTAATATTTGTTCTTGGCATGTGTACACACCTGCACACTATCCAATTATCCATTGGATTTTTTTGAATATTATAAGTGAAGGATACCATTAATGGATGGAATAGTGTTTCTACCCATTGCTGACCCCAAAACTCTTCTCTGTGACTTGAAACATCCACAGTAACCTTGCAATACTGCAACTCAGACATTGTAAAATATAAAATATATCCCTAAAGGGAGAATGATGGACCTTTATCCAAGATCATGCCCCAAGAATGAAGGCTGAGGTTTCTGCAAATATGAGTAAAGATTCAAACTGTGCAGGCCAGGAAAGTTTGGACTTTGGGAAGGAGGAACCCAAGAGCAGGAGACCCAGGCTGGTCCCAGTGGGCTGCCTGGCACCTGTAGAACTGGGGTTTGCCCTAACTCTATTGGCCTTTCACCTTCTCAGTTCTATCCTGCAGACATTACCATCTCAGATGCTTCCCTGCCCTGCCACTGTGTGCCAGGGTGTCATGGGGTAGGTGAAGAACTGGCCACACAGAGACATGGCATTGCCCATCCTGCGCAGTGCATAATAGAGGCCTCAGCCCCAGCTGTCATAGGAGTAGAGAAGTGTGAGCCATGGTATGGGAGGGCAGCACCTGATTGGGCAGCTCAGGAGTGGACCAGGATCAACCCACCTCTGCCAAACACTCCAGGAATGTGGCCTTTGGTGAGCAGGGAAACCTGGTGCTAGGCGTCATGGTGGTTTTGTTATTCCTTTCTTACTGATTCTATAACCTACCACCAACACTGTCCAAGAGACAGAAGTCCCCATGCCCTGTCTCCAAGGTCACCCTGCAGGGTCTCCTAAACACCCCTTTATTATAAAAAAGTTTCATTGAGCCCCAGAACCAGCAAACAGACGACACTACAGGTAGCCAAGGCTGCCACAGAGTCACATAGAGACCAACAGGTCTCATAGTAGCTGGTACAGTCGGGTGTGGACATATATAGATTTAACCAACCCAAAGACAGACAACATTAAAAAAAAATGTATGTATACTGAACAGATACGGATTTTTTTGGCATTATTATCTAAACAATATTGTATCACAACTATTTACTTATCATGTCACAATAGTTATTATAAGTAGTCTACAGATTATTTAAAGTACATAGAACTGGAGATGCGGCTCAGTTAGAGCACTTTGTGGGAGGCCCTGGGTTTCATCCTCAGCACTGCAAATAAATAAATAATATTCAGGAGGATGTGTAGGTTATATGCAAATACCACACCATTTGATATAAGGGAATTGATCATCCTCAGGTTTTAGTACCTCCAGCAAGTCTTGGAGTCAATCCCCCTTTATACCTGGGGCCGGAAGGACAGAATACCAAGGATGAGGATGACTGCATAAACTACAGTCTCATCTACCCAGCCATGGAAGCACCTCCTCTGAAGCTTAACACGTCCCAGCAGATTCTCCTTACTTTATAAATGAAAGTCCGCAGGTTCAGGTTCTGACTCATCATCACAATCAGAGGATACGCTTTCGACCCGGGAAGGCCACAGAGTTCCTTCATTGCAAACAAAGATGTTTTGTCTTCAGGAAATGTCAGCAGGAGGCGAAGAATCTCTTGATCACACTTTCCAGACAGAGCCATGGCAAGGGCACTGGAGAGAATCTGTTTCAAAGCAGGAGGGTCAGAAGTGACTAAGCCTAGTACCTTATACCTGGGGTCCAGCAGTCTCGGCTTTCTCAAGAATGATCTGCCAGGGAATAGGACCCCAGGGTGCTGAAAACTCACTCACCTGTCAGCTTCCTATCGCTGTGACAAAATGCCTCAGACCGATTTGGGTTCATGGTTTGAAGTTTCAGTCCATGGTCAGTTGGCTGTGTTGCCTTTGGGCTTGTGTTAACCAGAACCTCATTCAGGAAGCAGGTGGGGGAACATAGCTGCCCACTCATGGAAGCAGGAAAACAGAGAGAGAGGAAGCAACAGGCTCCTAATATCCCTTTCAGGGCCAAGCTCCCATGAGGTCACTTCCTTCCACTAAGTTCCACCTCTTAAAGGTTCCTCCACCTCCTGACAGCACCACTGGCTGCAGACTAAGCTCAAGTCTGAGGGATATTCAAGATCCAAAGTATGGCAGAGCTCAACCCTCCTCTGTGTTTTAAACATTTGAAATGGAAATGTTTCTGAAATTGCACATCATCCTCTGACTTCTTTATAGCTTACTCTTATTTGGGGGCTGGGGAGCTCATTACAAACCTCATCTCTCTGCAGGGCTCACCTCCTGGTAATGCCCTCCCACCTGCCTTTGGGTCTTTTCACTGTTAGAGATGTAAACTGACATATAATATTTTTTTTTTTGCCTCTTCCACATCTGGATTGAAAACAGTATTCCCAGGCTTGTCTTAATTTTTTTAAAAGTAAGAGCAATTGTGAATTTTGTGGCTATAACATTGGAATGCATTATCACTATAATACACTGACTTTGGTGCTTAGGTAAATACCAAGAAGTGGAATAGCAACCCAATTCACAAAAGCCAGTTATGGAACCAGCCTAGTGTTCATCAGTAGATGAATGGCTGAAGAAAATGTGGTGTATATACACAATGGAGTTCTACTCAGTCATAAAGAAGAGTGAAATTATTTCATTTACTCTTAAAGGGATTGTACTGGAGACCACAATGCTAAGTAAAATAATTCAGACTCAGAAAGAGTCTAATGTTCTCTTTCATATTCAGAAGCTAGAAAGAAAAAACTGAATTAAAAACAAGGGAAATATCATGGAAACATAAGGGAACTCCACAGAATAGACAGGGTATCACAGAGGGAAGGAAAAGGGAAAAAATTGGTGAATACAATCCACCAAATTATTCAATAGGTAGGTATGAATACATCACAAATTGATGCAACCACTCTGCAAAGCAGTATGGAGAGTCCTCAGAAAACTTGGAAAGGAACCACCATTTGACCCAGCTATACCGATCCTCGGTTTATACTCAAAGGACTCCAAATCAGCATACAGTGACACAGCCACGTCAATGTTTACAGCAGTGCAAGTCACAATAGTTCAACTATGGAACCAATCTAGGTGCCCTTCAACAGATGAATGAATGAAGAAAATATACACAGTGGAATATTATTCAGCCTTAAATAAGAATGAAATTATGGCATTTGCAGGTAAATGGATGGAGCTAGAGAATATCATGCCAAATGAAATAAGCTAAACCCCCCAAAAACAAAAGCCAAATGTTTTTGTCTGATAATAGAATGCTAATCCATAATGAGAGGCAAGGGAAAATGAAGAAACTCTGGTGTGCAGAGGGGAGTGAGGGGAGGGGAGCAGGCGTGGGGAGGGCAAGGACGGTGGAATGAGACAGACTACTACCCTATATATACCTATGATTACACTACTGGTATAAATCTAAACCATATTCAGCCAGAAGAAAGAGAAGTTGTGCTCCATTTGTGTACAGTGTATCAAAATGCATTCTACTGTCATCTGTAACTAATTAGAACAAATAAAATATTGTTGAGTGTGTGTGTGTGTGTGTGTGTGTGTGTGTGTGTGTAGAGAGAGAGAGAGGGAGATCAGTAGAGTAGAGGAGGGGACTGGAGAAAGAAGAGGGGAGTGAAGGGGAATTACTAGGGAATGAAATATAGTAAATAATGTTGAGTGCATTGTGAATATATCACAACGAATCCCACTACTATTTCTAATTATAGTACACTAATAAAACCATAATTTAAAAAAATAGAGCAAATAAACTTGGAAGGAAGAACTGAGGAGACAGCCTGTATCAACACCTGATTAGAATTACATATCACTGTCAAAGGCCCTGAGGTGCATCTTCATTTCAGCATGCCTTTCATTTAATGACTTTGTAAGACCTCCACTTAAAAAAAACAAAATAAAACAAAATCTGTAATTCTTGTTGTGTGTTTACACTCCTGATGGATAATATTGCTGTGAAGCTTGCAGACCAAGTGAGGTCTAAACGCATAAAACTTGTGACAAGAGCTACTTCTCGCTTTATAGGAGCTCTGCAGTCAGGTGGGGCTTACAAAATGCCTTCATGTGCCACAAAATGTCAAAAAGAAAAGGTCAAGTTGTGTGTGTGTGTGTGTGTGTGTGTACTTCATCTACAAAGTAAGGAGAACACACAGAGAAATTTATTTTAAGTAATTGGCTCATGCAATTACAGGAGCTGCCCAGCCAAAAAATCTGCATGGGGGGGGCGGGGCAGCAGACCAGGAAGCCCAGGAGGAACTGATGTTGCTTCTCAAGTCCAAAGTCTACCTATTATGGTTTGGATATGGTGTCCTCCAAAAGCTCCTCTGTTAATGCAGGTATGCCCAGAGGTGAGATGTTGGATTGTGAGAGCTATAACCTGATCAGTCCACCCTAGTTTAAATGGACTAATTAGGTGGTGCCCATAGGCAGGTGGGGCAGGGCACAAAGAAGTGGGTCACTGGGGCATGCCCTAGAAGAATGCATCTTTCCTGTGGTCCTTCCCACCTTCTCTCCTCTGCTTCCTGGCTTCCATGAATGGAGCAATGCTTCTCCTCCTCCACACCCTTCCTCTGTGATGTGCTGCCCCCCACCTTGGGCCCAGAGCAATGGGCTAAACCTCTGGAAGCTTGAACCAAAATAAGCTTTTCCTCCTCTAAGTTGTTCTTGTCAGTTATTTTTGGTCACAGCAATGAAAATCTGACTAACACACCACCAAAAAACAGAAATTCTTATTCTTTAGGGGACCTTGGTATTTTTTTTTTTTCTTGTAAGGTCTTCAACTGATTGAATGAGGCCCATCACATTTGGGAGTGTTGTCTGCTTTACTCAAAGTCTGCTGATTTAAATGTTAACCTATCTAAAAAAATAACCTTCACAGGAACATTTGGAATAATATTTGCTTTCATACCTAAATAATCGAACCCTTTTTCATATGGGTTGTGCATGTTGCAAACACAAGTTGGCAAAGCTTTTCTTAATGCCTCTGAAGGGAAGGGTGGTTCTGGGGGTATTCTTCTAGGAGTAGAATATGGCATCCACCCTGGGCTTTAGTTAGAGTGATCCCTCTTTTGTCAGTACTACAAAATGAGATAAGGTATGAAATTTTCCTAGGAAATGGGAATCATCCAAATCCAAAGCCTTGACCCCACAGAAGTGGCTCCCAGCTTTTGTGAGCATCAACCCAAACTGGCCCAATGAAAGTCCTTCTGTTTGCCATAGAGCCTTTGTCTTGGTCCTTGTCCAGTTTATCATGCAATGATTCCAAGGCAAGGACTTGGAATTTAGTGCCACAGCACAAATATTTTTGTACATCTTTTTTACCAAGCAGGGAGTGCCCAACACCCTACCTTCTGGGGGATTCACAAGAGCAACAGTTTTAGCCACATACTTGCTTCTACTGCTTTTCTATGGTTTTTCAAATTTTATCATCTGTCTTTTTAAAATCTTGTGACCATTTTTCCTGTTTGAAAAGCACCTGAAGCAAGTGGGCACAGGATGAGTAAAAATAAACCTACGATAACACTGTTTTGCTTGGTTGGAAGCAAAATGTGTGATTTCTGATCGTAGCTCAACAGGCATCTTGCAACTTAAGCTGTGCTCAGGCTGATTTTTTTAAATTACCAGGAACATGGATGCTGAGTTCCTGATACTTTTCCTATGGGTCCATGTTTGGTTTGGATAGCTGCAAGAAGACCAGGGTCCCAGAGAAGATGTCACCCCACCCCCATGAGCCCTGCACACCTACTCAGCAGCTTAAGATATTTGATTTATAAATGATGATCATCCCCAGGGGAGGCATTTGCAGTTTTTAGCAGGAGCTTGTTTAACAGACATCTGCTGACAGTCTAGTCCTGGTCAGAGCAGAACATGGGAGATGGTCTTGGTGTTGTCCACCTAGTGATTTTAGACTCAGAGGTACAGAGAAAATCTGAACAGGATGGCAGCTCTCAGCATCATCGTGAGGACAGAGGAAACACAGTGATGCCCAAGATCTAGGACTATCAGGAAGAGCTGCTCTATCAATTTAAGCTTTGTGAGCCAAGAAAACAAAATTGGGTCAAATAGGAGAAATAGTTCTTCACATTTTAAAGAGAAGTAGTGTGGCTCTCTGCTCTGCATTGCAACTGAGCTCAAATCTGCTGACATGATAAAGAGACAGGTGCAAGAGAGCAGCAGGAGAAAGGAAGCGACAGCTCTGAGGCTGCAGAAGGACTGAAGCCACTGGGTGGAGAGCCTGTGGTAATGAATTTGGAGGAGAAACAGAAAGGCCAGTATTAGCTGAATTGACTCCATCTGATGCTGACATCAAAGTTGCCAAATATCTGCAAGTCTCAGCTACATGACTAACAACTGGGGTGACAACAAGATGCCAAAGGATTGTTGGGATAATTAAATGAGATACAAAGCTCTCGGGACAGAGAAGAGTACTTCTAAGTGGTCAGCAACCATCCTTCTTACTGATATGCTCTTAAGCAACTACCAGAAAAAATACAGCTTTGGCTTACAGCATATTGCAAGAAAAAGATGAATAAGAATTAGATAGAGCTGCTGATTGAGAAAGATAATTGCATTTTAGAAAAGAGAGAGAAGGTACAGCTAATTAATTCCATCTTTGTTCCAGTATTGCTAAGGAGAACCATTTTTGCACTGGAATGTATAACACTCATCTGAGGCTGTGGGCTACCATCAAATGCTGTGCCCAGCCTTGCACTGCACCCTGGCAGGTGGCCTCTAGGGCAGGGTAGCCCACTGAGACTAGAACTTGTTCTAGACAGCAACCAGAGCCACCATCTGGCAACCCTCCCCACCCAGCCCCCTCTGCCTCCAAGTCCAGACCCCTCTCTTCTTTCCTATCTTCAGGAAGGGTCATGGTTCTATCTATAGTTGTTTTAAGAAGTCATGGAGAAAATGAAAACAACCTCAGTTTTCTTGTTTGAAGTAGACTTTGGAAATTACTGGCGGGTTATAATATCAGCCCTGGAACAATTCTGATTGTGGGCTAGCCAACAGCTGACATCCACATAACCAGCCCTATCAAGGTGACAGGACTCGCCAAACTCCGTCACTTCTACTCACAAGGAATAACGACGAGACTCGGAATACCTTTTTTTTTTTTTGAAGGGATCTCCAGAAAGAGATCAAAACTCTGTAGGTGTCCCCTCTCCCTTCTTCCTTAAGAACTATGGCAGGGGTGGAGGTAGAACAAATTTATGAAAATTGTCGAAAACACCAAGGTCCTCCAAACGCTGGTCAGATGTTTAGCATAGAAAACAAAGGGGCAGTAGACAGACCCCTTGAGCACTCTCTGTTTGCGTCCTGATTCTTTGACCTCTCTGTTGATTTTTAAAGAATAAAAAATTGGCTTAACACAAAGAAGCAAATCACCATTGATGTGGATGAAAGCTTAAGACACAGGAATCCAGCATAAAATGAAGAGGTGCTACCAGGACAGGGTAGAGGGGACAGCAGCCCAGGATAGATGGCAGGGCTAGCTGGGCTCCAGATTCTGCAACTGGGATTTTAATTGGGTGGTGCTGATGTTAAATAATGAAGCTCTGCAAGAGAAAGGAGCTTCCCATAGATACCCACAGCTGGTTCTCTGCAGACAAGCAAGGGTGGAAAAGAAAATGACTCGGTATCAAGGTGTCAGCCTGCCTTGGCCTCCTTCTGCTCATTCCTGCTCCTGGTCCTTTGATGCAATGTCCCAAGCCCTGTGACTCTCAGATCATTCCAGTCTGGCCTAGATGTCATGTGCTCAGGGAGGCTTTCTAGAGCTACCTATTCCCATCCCTGTGATAAATGCATGTCCTAGAAATTTCCAGATTCTTCACTTACACTGCCATGATTTATTACATTTTTACTGGGTTGTTACAGAGGGTTAACTTCCCAAGAGTAGCAAATTAAGCCCCAGCTTTTGAAATCATGCCTGAAATGCAGGAAGCTCTTAAATGAATGATTAAATGAATGAATGAATTAATTAATTAAAGTAAGTTTTCTGCAATTTTTCCAGAACCTTACCACCATTCAGGCTAACCTCACTTCAGGCACTCCCTGCAGGCCACCACCAACTTGGATTATGGATACAATGTGGTCAATTTGCAAACTGACTAATGCAACTACAGTAGAGAAGCCCAGGGAGAAAAATAAAGAAAGGGTACCATAAATTATATGATGCTGCTGCCCACCTAGCAACCTATAAAAACTGGAGCCCAAAGTGCTACCTCCTAACCTGACATAAAATTCCTTACCTACGATCTGTGCATGCATGCGGGTTCATGGATAGACTTACATATCAAAGCAAATAACTTCATTATGTATTTGAAAAGCATAAAAGCAACTTTTTATGTCCCTCCCCTTTATTTGACGGTCCACCCATTTAAGTGACCACAATGAATTACACTGACAAAAATGCAGAAACTACCAAAAAGTGTATTTTTTGGTACAAAACTACCAAAAAAATACACAAAATACACAAACTACCAAATAAATAAATAAATAAATAATCACTGCAAAACCTTTCCATAGGGCATATCACCATTTAATTCAAGCCTCCTCAGGACATAGCCCACTCATGATAGAACATCAGTGACACCTGGTGGCTGCTTGCTTAAGCAGGGAGCAAGCATCAAAAACACCTATGTCCAAACCTAAGATGTATCATAAGACTTTGGATCTGAAAGGACCCCAGAAATTAGGTGATCTGATGTTTCTTTTAAAGCCATCCTAGGTAGCTACTCAAATTAATTTAGTCACTAGTCCATTTACCTGTTACAAGTTCTGGTAACTCTAAGATTTCAAAGGAAAGCTAATCACTATTTCTATCTAAGGTTAAAATAATGAGCTAGGTGAAGAAATGTTACCACTGCTCCCTGAAATTTCACCACTCCCCTCACCTCCACTATCACTCCCAACATCTCCATGCATATGTGGTATTTACTGAGTTGAATAGATACTAGGAAAAGTAGATATTAGGTGTCTTACTTTCTAACTTGGTAATACTACAATTTGAATTTTAAATACAAATCTACTTCTTTCTTAATTTAGACTAACGCTTAAGGTACTCAAGGTGCATTAGCCCCCCTCTAATTAACCATAACTGACATGCAAATAATGTGTATGGCGTCCCAACTGATAGTCAATGCAAATTTTTTTTTTTTTTTTTGTAAGCCAGTTTAATGATTCTCTATTGAATAGAGTAAGACTCCAACTGGGAATGCTGAAAAGCAACTGCAAAGGACCCCAGGGATATCTGCTATGGCCCACGCATAATTTCCCTGCTCCCCTCTTCTGAGATAAACCACGCCTCAATGCAACCCAATATGTGTTACTCATCCTTGGGTTTTTTGCAATGGCTTTTTAATAGTTTCATCACTTTTTTCAGCTGCCTTCACCAGAGCGTCTCAATCACCTTGGAGATGACGTGGCCTGTCATTACTCATTTGCCTTTGCAAGTCACTAACACAGCACACTGTCAGATTGTGCACTGTCACTCTCCACTTAAATGATATTGGAGTCCATTTTTAAAATATTTTCAGCTGTTTTGCTTTGGGATATTTTTTCAGTTTGATAACAGCTATGGAAACAAGCAGAGGCACCCTGGCATGTCCTGCATCAGAGTTAGGGATTACAAGGAAAAAAAATCATCACCAGTTTTATCCTTTCTAATCCCAAATGAAGACAATATTATGAAATTAAAGACTCCCAAGGTTTTGTCATGAGACAGTGATATCCTTTGGTTCCTTGCTCATTTTCTCATTCCCTTTCTGCTTTCAGTTATATCATTTGTGCAGCAACCCGCTCCCCTAGCCATGGGGGAGGACAGAAGGAAGAGGAGAGAGAATAACACAACACCAACAGCTTCAGGCTGGGGGCCCCGTAGGTGGGCAAGCACAGAAGCAGCAGCCTGTACCTTTGAATGGGAAATATTTGCTTCTAAGATACTGTGGATGGTCTCATCTGAGATGTGGATAGAAGAGCGAAGATCTTTTGTGAGCTGGGTGATGTTCTTCATCAAATCTTTTACTTTTACATCTAAAAAATTAGCAAAAGGAATAAAATTTTATTTTTTTAAAAAGTTCCAATTATTTCTGAATATTTTTGTGGTAACAAAATTTGATATTAAAATCTGACAAGGATAGTTTCCTCCACGATGACCAGTTTAGAGAAGACACTGAATAAAGTTCCATCTTAGTCCTCTTAGGGCAACTGAGATCATTTATACTAGAAGTAAATCAAGACCCCAGGATATATAGTATTATCTGGTCAATTGTTTACTCATTCAAAGACCTGTATATTTTAAGATTGACTTGAAAAAGAGCTTTATCTTAGGGAACAATGATCAAGTCTCTTAAGAAACTCATTTCTACACTTGTATCTGTTTATCTCATTTTGTAGCAAGAGGAGGGTCACTTAAGGATTTTCCAGAATTCTTCAGATTTAGCATATTGATTCTGCAAGCAGCTTTGTGAGTTGTATATACAGAGCAGACAGAGAAGCAGAAACTAATAGGCGACATTTGTCCAAGGAGACAGAACTAGAGCAAAATCCAGACCACAGACACTTCTCTTCCTTCTCTGCTTGATTTTTTGGTACCCCAGGATTTGAGAATTTTCCCTATAAAGCCCTCAAACATCAGACCAGCCAAGTTCTATTGTCATTTTCACATATACTCTAAGGTTTCCTTTGTATGTTTTATTTTAATAACATTTGAGTGAAAAAAAAACTGATTTTAATTTTTAATCAAGCAAACTTGGAAAGCCACATACTTACTCTCGGTAACTGTAAAATTGCTAAGAAAAGTGATAATGGAATTCCCGGACAACCAAGTCTTCTGGAAGCTTTTGGCCAACCTAAGATGGCAAGAAATTAAAACTAAATTAGGCAAGATAAAATACCAGAAACAATTTTGGTGTGAATAATCCTGCCTTAGTGCCCAGGAGATGAGCCAGATAACAAGATCACATTTCCATAAAATTCCTCTGATAATTAGACACACAATCTCTCCCAATACCACCTGTATGTGAATATCCATTAATACCAACACTGCAATATTTCCTTCTCAGAGACCCTGCCAAGCAAGAAAAATCGGGAAATAAAGATGCATAATAAATAGCTTTTCACAAATGTGAAAGGAACAGACAGAATCTATCAGGAGATGTTTGAGAAATTAGGATATCTGGAGTCAGATGAACATCTCTCTGCGAATGTCATTTGTAGAATACAAAGTCCCCGACATCGTCATCTGAAGGCTTATATTTCTAGAACTCTGAGATAAATTAATTAAATATGAAGCAATCTGAAAATACTTTATACTGTTCATCCACTCATATTTAATACCATATTGTAATATTGGATCATGACATTTTATTCTAATTCCTTGATCACCAGTGAAGTGAGCCTTATGGCAAATGCTGCTCTTACACTTTGCTATTTAAAAACTTAGTTATGGAAAACTGTGATGTTTCGAAAATACATATGTATTCATATGCATATTAATAACATTTAGTGAAGACCCTTATCTGGCTGGATTGCATCATTAAGGAATGCCCGACATCTTTATGAATGAAAGCAGGAGAAGACGTGAGATCCCACTGGTACATACGTGCTCATGTGCTGCTGAACTGTCTCTAGCGGGGGCTGGCATGTGCAGTCCTGGTCAGTGGCATTTTCCAAGTTACTTCTGAAGCTTTCCAAGGTGCTAGAAAGATTTCTGCTAAGACTTTCACAATTTATCTGATTAGGTGAGGACCATATCTTTTCAATTTCCTAGAAAACATAGCAGTGATATAGGTCAGAAACACACACTTAAAAATTTACCTTTGCCCTCACAGTTACATGTATTGTCAGGTTTTTACTTATTCTCGGTCGTCTCAGGAAACAGAAATGGAAAGTCATAGCCATTGCCTCTGTCACTGCAGAGTAAATAGTAGAATTAGCTTTCAGCTACAAAGTAGGGGAGCCCAGGTTTTATTCCTGGCTCTTCCAGGACGCAAGAAGATGGTATGTTCTTCAATACATGGCAGAGAATAAACAACATCCTCCCGAGTGACCAACCTACATTTAGATTACTACAGTATGGTTCCCAGGAACTTGGGCCACTCGGTAGCAAAAGTAAATAATCCAATTATAAAAATTGGCAAAAGTGTTAGATAGACATGTCTCTAAAGAAAACACACAAATGATAAATAGGTACATGAAAAGGTGCTTAACATCATCAATCAGCAGGATAATGCAAATAAAAGTCACAGAGAGATGTCACCTCATACATATTAAGATGACTGTCATCAAAACAACAAGAGATACTAACAAGTTTCCCCAGGTGCAATGGTGCACACCTATAATCTCAGAGATTGGGGAGGCTGAGGCAGGAGGATGGCAAGTTCAAGGCCAGCCTCAGCAACTTAATGAGACCCTGTCTCAAAATTTAAAAGATGAATAAATAAAAAGGGCTGTGGAAATCATGCCAACTGCAATGACATGGATAAACCTAGAAGAAACACTAAGAGTCACAGAAGAAAAAAAGAAAAAAGCCTCATTTAGATGTGAGGTGACCAGTGAGTATCTAGCCATGAAGACTTCATGGGGCATTGGTAGGAGCAGCCAGCCTCTAAGCAGTGCTGCCTGCAACCTGCAGGGGTTCCAGAGGGAGTGGCTGCCTCAGGCCAGTTTCTTCATGGTCTTTTTCAAGGCAGGACTCAGGGCCCACAGACCTCTCTGCTTTCTTTACTTAGATCCCCAGTGTCTATACTATCCTTAAAGACAAATCCCCCTCCAACTTCTCCCTCACCCGTGACCCTGAAGACCTGTGCACAGAACCCATTCAAGGCCAAAGTGTAACCACAGTCAAGCAGAAAGGAAAAGAACAATAGCAATCATAGGTGTGCATCTGAAAGGCAGGGAGATGTCCAGGGTTTGGTCCCAAGGCTCCAGTCTGTGTGCTCATTTCTAGTGACATGCAAAGTATTCCCTTCAACTTTCATCTTCTATTCTTACTTCCAAATGTGGAGCTCTCTAAACCCTCCCCAGTGCACTCACTAAAACATTTCACAGGTCCAATATTCTCCTTCCTGGATAGATGTCCCCGCCTTGTAGCATGACAGTGCCCAGAGACAACCAGTCATATAGGTACAAACAAGTGGCTCCTTAGAGCCAACTCACTTTAAGAATATAGGTTGAATTAAACCTATCTCATGGGGAGCTCTGCCCAGGGAACACTGCCTCATAGAAAAGAACCTCTAGTTTATAACTTGTAATTATATGCAAATTAAATTAAATCCAATACATTTATAGCATTCCCACTATGGATATTATTCTTAAATTTAACAGAATGATAATCATAGAGGGGCTTATAAAGAAGGAACTTGCATAACCTCTCTCCTCAGCAGCAATAACTAATGGGAGAAAAGTTTCAATTTTCTCAGCACAGGTTTACTAGGGTCCAGGAAAGTAGTATCTAGAACAGTTGAGACTGGCATCCATTAAGTTAAACCTTTGGGATAACATAACACCAACCCATGGAAAAGGCAGCACACATCACACTACATTCTGTGGCTAGAACAGGCCTGTATCATCCAGGGACTGGTCAGGTATGTGGACACAGATGGGTCCAAAAGTCTCAATTTAGAGACGTGGTCAGAAATTTGCAGTGCAACCTGGAATTCTGACCACATTCTCCATTTTAGTTTATCTCAGAAGTATAAAGACAGGTTGGGTCCTGTGGTCATTTTTGAAACTTATTTTTGAACCCCATTTAGCTTCTGATAGCTGCTTTCCGCCATCAGGAAAGCAGAACAGCAGAGTAAGGAGCTGAGACACTGAACCTTGAGCTTATCAATTCAGTCAGTGGGGACTTTCACTTCCAAAAGGAACTGGGAAAACAGTGTGTTTAACTATTTAGATATTGAAACAGTAAAGATGGCACTGTGCCCTTTGTCTGCCTTTATCAGGCACAGGAGATTTTGCATCCCATATCCTGGGAAAGAACTATATTTCTAAAAGTCTCCATTTGGTGGTCTAATGGGCACATTCTAACGGTTTTGCATCCTGAGATAGCAACATTCTTTGTTTGTCATCAGAGGAAGGAACTTCAGCTCTTCATCTAAGCTAACCTATTACCAGTCAGAATTCTTGACAACCATATAATAATTTGAAATAAAAATATGATCTTTGAGTTAGTTGTTTCAAAAGTTGGAGTGTCTTGCCAGTTTTATTATCACAAACTTCTCTCAGCATTCAAAAGCTGCAAGTATTTTTTCTTTATTCACATTTAATACAGGCTGAGTATGCTTATTCAAAATGCTTGAGACCTAAAGTTTTGAGGATTTTATTGGATTTGGGAATATTTGCACATACACAATGCACATACATTTCTTAGGAATGGGACCCAAGTCTACACATGAAATTCATTTATGCTTTGCACACACTTTGTACACATAGCCTGGAAGTCACTTTCGTGTGTCCTTGTTCTGACTGTGTCCTGTCCCATGAGGTCAGGTGTGATATTTTCTATCTGTGGTGTCTGTCATGTTGGTGCTCAAAGTTTTAGATTTTGGAGAATTTTGGATTTAGGATTTTTGGATTAAGAATGCTCAACCCATACCTGACAAAGATCTGCATAATCTGAAATTAAAAATTTTATGGTCTAATGGGCTGGGGATATAGCTCAGTTGGTAGAGTGCTTGCCTCATATGCACAAGGCTCTGGGTTCAATCCCAAGTAATAATAATAATAATAATAATAATAATAATAATAATAATTTGATGGCTTAAGTATATCAATGAAAATATGACAAACTACAGGGGCTGCAGTGGCAATTATCTCTCAGGACTCTTAAGGGTATCTGCTCACATATGCTACTCTTCCAAAAGCTGGAGAAATCAGGATCAACAGCTCTCATACTCTTCTCACACTACTGCAGAAGCTCAGTCTTGATCTACTTTGGTATCATTCCTCTTTTCGCTTTCTGGGATAATGCCACACTCACTGGACATATCATTGGGTACAGTCAGCATAAAAACAATAAAGAAGTTCAGAGCTGGTCCTAGCAGAAAGGCAGACTGTGTGGAAAAACTCCATTGAGTCTGTGTGTGGGCCCAGTGGTCCTTAATTCCAAGCAAAAGAGTGGGTCCCAGATGAAAGTCATATTCCATAATTCAACGTTATTTGGAGTCCCTGCCTGGGGATGGACTGGCAAATGTTTAAAAACTAGCTCTCAAAAAAAAATCAATAAATAAAAGATCTGATTTGTAGTACTTGCCAATTCCCAGGGTTTAAACACTCCCACATTGCCTAGTTCAAGCCTTCAACATGACATCACTAAATGTGACCATATAGTGTTTCCATGAGGTAGATGCCACAGAAGCAAATGATATCAGAAGAACAGATATCAATAAAATATACTAAAATAGTTTGGAGTTAATGAGTATTTATTAACTTTATTTTTAACCCAATTTATGTAATCATATATTTATATAAATTGATTGTTAATGATGTTGGCGCTAAACAACCAGCTTGTGAAATGCCTGGTATGTGAAAAAGCAGCTCCCACAACTCAATGCCAGTCAACTTCTGCACAGACTGAAAGAACCTGAACGACAGAAAGAGTGAGGCCTCATTTTGCAAGCCTAACTTTCACCATGACTATATGTGACACAATTGCTCTGGTTATAAGGACCTCGCTGCAAGCTTGCAATACCTTGACTGCCTCGCAGGGGCCCTCAGTAATGAATATGACATTCTCTGAAAAATAGAAGATGACAAACCTGATAGTAGTTGTGCACCAAAGTGACACCTTGGATAGCAGATAAAATGAGATGCCTTATCCCACCTTGCTTGCAACTCAGAGTAGCACACAAAATGTCCTTAGTCAAGGAAGGGTTTTCTGCCAGAGGAAACAGAGAAAAGTAATTAGTAAGCAGTCCTTTCCAGAACTCTCCAGTCCCACAGAATTATTTCTTCAAGATTCAAAACAATGCAAATTCCTAAAAATTTCTTAAATCAAGATGAACTTTCAGATGATAAGGACAAAGCTATGTCTTTAATTTTTTTTAATTGACACAAAGTAATTGTACGTGTGCATAGGATATAAGGCAGCTCTTCAGTACATATATATGAGGGTTAACCATCAGATCAGGATAGCTGGCATATGTATTATCTCAAACATTTATCATTTCTTTATGTTGGGAATATTCAAAACCCTCTATACTAGTCATATTGCAATATTCAACTAATTGTGTCTATTGTACTATAGAACCCCACAAGTTACTCCCCCTATCCAACTGCACCTCTGTATACATGAGCCATCTGTTTCAACATCCCTCTCTCCTTATACATTCCCAAGTCTCTGGTGAATATTATTCAGCTCTCTAACTCTATGAGATCAATATTTTAGCTTCTATGAATAAGTTAAATCATGAGTACTTATCTTTCTGTGCCTGATTATTTTGTTTAATATAAAGTCTTCTAGTTCCATCTATATTTCTGCAAATGACAATTTTATTCTTCTTAACAACTGAGTAATATTCCACTATTTATACATTCCACATTTCCTTTATCCATTAAGGTTGTGTCTTTTAAAGTTCAAATGTAATGAAAGAGTTTTTCCCAAGCTGAATTTATTATATAGAAATCCATTTCCAACCTCTACCTCCCCAAACTGGCCCTTCTTCCTATATTTCCTATAAGTGGAGTACTATTATGGTTCATATATGAGGTATCCCCCAGAAGTTTATGTGTGGAACAATGCAAGAATTTTCAGAGGTGAAATGATTAGATTATGATAGATGTAACCTAATCAGTGGATTAATCTGGTAGGATGTGACTGGAGGAAGTAGGTCACTTGGAGAGTGCCTTGGGGGTTTATATTTCATCCCTTATAAGCACAGTCTCTCTCTCTCTCTCTCTCTCTCTCTCTCTCTCTCTCTCTCTCTCTCTCTCTCTTTCTCTCTCTCTCTCTCTCTTTCTCTCTCTCTCTCTCTCTCTCCCTCTCTGTCTATCCTACCTGGTTTCCTTCTCCTGAGATGCTTTCCTCTGCCATGCCCTTCCACCAAGATGTCCTGCATAAACTCATAAATTCAAGCCCAGAGCTTTGCAGTCAGCCAACCATGGACTGAACCTCTGAAACAGTGAACCACATAAACTTTTCTTTCTCTAAATTATTTTTGTCTTTGGGTCACAGAGATACAAAGTTGAATAAAACAATACCCATTTGTCCCCAGATCGACCAGGACAGTCCTGGTTTTTACCTTCTGTCTTGAAGTAAACAGTAACCTCTTTCTTTCTCTCAAGTGCCCCACATGTCTGCACATGGAGGCCTAGGTCTTTCCATACAACCAATCTCTCCATTTTTTCACTCTACCTCCCAGTTTCTCTAGATTCTGTGCCTTCATCCAGCACCCCAGGTCACATGCCAAACTCCTAGAAGCTCCCACCCATATCTCACCTCTGTAATCTGCCTTCTGCTCTGAGCCACAGGGCTCTTCTTCAAAAAATGAAATGGTCAGAAAGGGAAATCTGCCCAAAGGCTCAAGATTGCATTCAAAATTTTTTCAGAGCCACTAGCTGCCTTCACTCCCTAGAGGGTCCCTACTTTCTGCTTAGTCTGTCTGCACCTTCTACTGGGACTTCCTCTCCCAAACCTACCTTCCTTTCACAGCTCAGCCTCAGGAACACAGCCCCCTACCCACCCTGACCACAGCCCTCCCACTCCCTGTCTGTGCAGATCCATGTCAGCTCAGCTCCCTGCATGATCGTCCACTGCAGGACTCTCTCCTCTGCTGTCATGTGCAGCCAGCACACAGCACCTTCTAGATGATTGGACACTATAGAAAATAAAATTCATCTTTATGAGCAACAAATAGTGAAAAATTAGTTTTGATAAATGATTACATTATTTCTCAAAAGTCATTTTTAAAACAATTTGAGCACAAAAGTATCCAATCTGAGCAGGCTGTGCACCATGAGATTTCAACCCTATGACATTCTGGAAGAGGCAAAATTATGGAAACAGTGAAAAGATCACTGGTTACCAGAAGTTAGGAGGAAAGAAAGGATGAGTAGGTGGAGCACAGAGGATTTGGGGGGAACAGTTAAATGATTGTGTATTATACTAAGGTGGGGGATTTATGTCATGTAGATTTGTTAAAATCCAAGGAACGTCAACACTTGGAGTAAACTGTATTGGACTCTGGGTGATAGTCACATGTCACTGTAGGTTCATCAGTTGTAACAAACATGCCACTCTGATAAAGGCTGTTGACAGTGGGGGAGGGCGCTGTGCTCCTTGGGTAGGGAGTATACTGGATTTTTCTGTACTCCCTGCTCAATTTTCTTGCAAACATAAAACTGCCCAAAAAATAAAATTCATTAATTAAAAAACAGTTTTGAACATATGCAATACAGAATGCATTCTTTCTAGAAACATCCAACCCTGATGCCTTATTTATCTTTTCCCATTAAATATATATTTCACAATTCTTAAGACAGTTCTCTTTATTGTAGAAAATGTTAAATGTGTTTCTTAAGTAATTTCTTATTAAAATGTGGAATAAGAAAGTAAATTGTCAAACATGCCAGAATTTATCTTTGAGTATAAATCGACCCTCTGCTTTAGGAAAAAAACATGAAGTGTGTAGAAATTATGCCATTCAAACCCCAAAGCGGGAGAATGCACCACAAGAAAGCTCATACATATGGCATTAGTCAAGCTCTGTGGACCTTTGCTTCCTCCAGGTGAGACTCCAATGCAGACCAACCTGGCATTTCTGCAATATTAGCTCAGGACTGATGTGGTTATAAGAAAGCAGGCCAGGCTGCCTAGGCATCTAGTCCCCTTCTGACCCTGGATTCCACAATGTCATACAGGAATCATTGCAAGAACACGTGACAAGGGTCTTGACACCTGCAAGAGCCCAGCTCAGCCTGGGTCCCCCCACTTCCCAGAATGCCCTCTTCCTCCTCCCAGCTGTGCTTCTTCAAAGCCCCAGCTCCAGTCCATTCTAGCTGCTCTGGTGCCTCTTCTTGCCTTGGGGACACATTCAGACACCTTCTCTAGCTTCTCTGATCTGCCGGCTCTCTTACAAACCCTTCGTGCTGCTCCCACAAGCCTTATGAACCCCCTGTGATTATCCTCAGCTGGAAAAGGCTCTTCTTCATTGAAAATCCCCGGACAACTAACTCACAATCTATGAGCCACAATTAGCCAGTTTGAGAAACTAGAAGATTAGAGAGATGCCCACTGAGGTTTCTTCTATTTCCATGAGCTTCGCAGGCACGCCTGCAATCATTGTTGACAGACTTAAGGCCACAAGGAGGAGGAAAATGACAACTTCCTTTGTGGAGACACTAAATCAATTCTGAGCATGGCAAAAAAAAAAAAAATGACTTTAACAATGAGGGTAACAGATCTGACTGCTAATCCCTTTGTGTGAAACAAGAGCCATCTGCCTATTTTGGTCTATTAAGCTCTATATCTTCTTCATTGGTTGGCCCTTCTACCTTCTTTAAATTTGTCACTGCCTTCCAATGCTACAGAATGGAATGGCAGTTTAATAGGGAAGGTGAGGTGGCAGTTTAAATGACAGTCATGCTTGGGTTTCCTCGAAATAAAATTGTAAAAATTAACTAAAAATTAACTTTCTGTTTCTAACATCATTAGCAGCTGTAACACAGAATGGCAAAATAAATACAAACTCAGGTACCAAGGAATGTTTAATTCATTTAAAATCCATTAATTTATCTGACTGTGAAATGTCAAAAATAATTATGTCTTCAAACACGGCTGAATTCAATATGCCAGAGAAGCATTCAAGAATCAGAAAGAAGTTTGATTCAAATTTTACCCACGCATGGTCCCCCATGCTGAAATCATTTATGGCCATCCTAGTGTGTACTTAGATAGGTAATGCTTTGTCTTTGATGGCATTTTCACTGTTGGTAATATCTCCCAAATTAGAAATTAGGACTTCCTTTTTTAAAAGGCTATACAAAGTCCCCAGCTGTCAGTCCACTGGGGTTTCCTTTACCTCAATCATGTCCCACTTTCTCCTTCCATTCTTCTCTTTTTTTATATATGTTTTTTGTCTCAGAATATTAACCTCTTCTTTGATTCACTGAAATGTTTGCATTAAATTTTAAAAAGAGATGAGTGAGCCATAAAAACTAATCCTGTCCCTAAACTACCAATTTGCACTTGTGAACCAGCTCTTTGTATATTGGGAAGTGGTCTCCCAATGGCATGCAGGAGACCCAACCTCAGCCTGCACTGTCATGCATGAGGCACCTGCCCTGAGCAAGGGCTCGTGGGGGTCATCTGTGTTCACTGTCATGTTTTATTAAATCCTCTGGATGCTCTTTGAAGCCTATTTTGTTCAAGGCTGAAACAGACTTGGCAGCCTGTCCTGAGTTGCTCAGCTAGCAGGAGGTGCTGAACTCAGCCTGGCAGGTCTCAGAGCACCTGCTCCTTCATTGTACGCTTCCCCTGGCATCACTTACTACAAGGGTCAGTGTGATTCTGTGCCTGGGGACACCTGGGGACAATGAAGGAAGCCTTGCCAGACATAATGTTGCATCATGATCAGCAATCCCTGGCTGCCTGATGCAGCAGTCTTGTAGGCCAGGGGCCCACATACAGGCCTCAACCCTGTGGACCGTGGTACCTGGCATAGGGTGGCACTCACTCACTCACCTACCTAGTCCTCTGAACACATCACTCTGGTGTCTACTGTATCTATGTCAGCATTTTTTCTAGACCCTGGAGAGACACAACAGTGGCCATGCAGGCACACCTCCCTAGTACTCAGGTTTCACCTGACATGCTCCCCATTCCAGGGATGAGTCGCCCAAGGGCTCATCCTCTCCTCCCGCCCTCACTCCCACCCCCATCACCGTATTTGAGCTTCTTCCTAGTATATTTTTAAAATAGAATTTGGCATGCAGATTCCTGCCTAAGACTCGCTTCTCCTCCTTTCTATTCTCAGGTGCATGCTGTTCTACATACCTGGCCCCTAGCTTCAGCCACCCAGACCCAACAGTGAATCTACCCTGGGACCAGGGGCTCTTCCCATCTGATGGAGGATTTTGCCCTCCCTGGGTAAGCCAGACCCTTTTCTCTATGATGTCCTCCCAGCCCCACAGTTTGCTCAATTGTACAAAATGGTCCCAGAGCACATAGACAGCCCATCTACTCTCTCTAATGGTTGAACATTCCTATATGAACAGACTGCTCACTTGGGAATGCTTTTGAACCAAGAGATGAGCCCATGAGGGCCCCTGGCATTTATTCACTCACTCATTCATTTAACAAGCATCAGATATCAGCATCTTATGCTCTATTTCCCATAGGGCAAGTTTATTACCATCAGGCACAGCCCTTATGATCAGAGAAGAGATGCATTCAGAATAGCACATATGGTCATGGCCATAATTGGGAAATTAAGCCCTGAGATTGGAATGCAGGTAGGGCCACCTAACACCTGATGGGGTGGGTCCAGAAGAGCTTTCCAGAGGACATAATAATCTAAAAATAGTAGTACAATAGATTAAAATAGTAATCTAAATAAAAGAAATAATCTAATACTAAAACAGAAAATGTAAGAGAGTGAGAGTATGGAATCAAATGAACTGAGGTGAAGCAGGGAGCTAAAGGAGTAAGGTGAGCCATGGTGGAACTCTATGCAGCAGTAGAAGTTAAGGCCTGCTCAGTCCTCCTTTCAGTCTTCTCTGGTCTGATCAGACCCACCCTCTGCTCCCCCATTTCTCTTCCCTTACCCTCCTCTTCATCTATCTTACCCAGTCTCTCAGGGTCCTTGTTAACTCAGAGTTAACTTAGAGTCCTTGACCCCAGTCTGGGAGACTAGGACATAGGAAGGCAGCAGCATGTGTGTTCAAGTAGAATTACCGTGAACATAGGTGGTCCATTCCATGGACTCAGATATGCACCACAACTTAATGCCTACACATTAGAGAAAGCCCTAAAATAATTACCCTATAATGCAGCTCACAGTACTTACTCTCCATCAAGAGTAGCATTTAAAGGAAATGTGTAGCTAAGAATGCATCAAGTATGACCTTAGTAGATGAATTAATTTAATGACAACATAACCATTCATGATTGCTGGGCGCTATGTTGAATATCATGGAGACACAGGATTTAATGAGAAACTGGTCCTGCTGTCAGTGAGTCTACAGACTCCTGCAGAAAAGGAGGTATCAGAAATGAAAATGTAAGCAATAAGTGCCAGGGCTGGAGGAAATTCAGGTCACTACATGGACCTCTCAGCATACACTAGGGGACTGTATAGTCCATGCCAGGCACTGCAGACACACAAATGTTATGACACAGTTGCGGCCTGCAGGAAAAGTGACTCCAGAACAGTGGGTAGATGTAAGAAATAAGAACATGAAGAGTTGCCTTTGATAAATGTCTCCTTAAATATCTGGCCAGCAAAGGAGGCAGGGGCGGTCCTCCTGAACAAGATGCTCCCAGCTCTAGGACACAGAGCACAGCTTGAGTTTAGGTGGAAGAGACAGGGAAGCATACTCCATGAGTAAGGATACAGAGACCAGAAAGCCCCACACAGTATTAGGAAGGCATTGTCCAATTTGACTGGAGCACACAGTCTGGTGAGGTTGGAGAGGATGGACCAGACCCCTCCGGGTCTTGAGTCTCAAAGTCAAGCTAAGAAGGTTGTGCTTTGTCCTAAAAGAAATTCATGGGAAATCTGTGTATCTCTCTGACAGCCCAGCTCTCAAAACTGGCACAGGGGCATTATCAGGCACATCTTACATAATCAGCCCACCTGCAAAGATAATGAGCACACGCAAAACCACCATCTTCACTTTCTGCAGAATCTCGATGGCTTCAGAGGGCTTCTCCAGCTGCTGCAAAACTCGACACATCTCAACAACACTTAAGAAAAAAAAAAAAGATAATGGCATTTAAGGATAAAAATCTGCAACACATGAGCATTGTTACTGTGTAGTAGGCTAGGCCGTAACACATGTAAGAATTGTCCCCTCTACTCAATCACAGATATCGTACAAGAACACAAGGAAAGCTCAGATAACACAGTCTATGCCTCTAGAAAACCGTTTTTTACTTGTTTGAATCTCTTGAAATGAAAAGGTAAGTGATTAAAGGATCTCAAGACACAATGGCAGCCTCTGTGACAACGTGGATGCATCTGGAAGACGGTTATATTAAGTGAGGAAAGTCAGGGACAGAAAGACAAATATCCCATGTTATCATTCATATGTAGAGTATAAAAAAGTTGTCCTCATAGAAATTCAGAGCAGAATAGTTCCCAGAGGCTGGAAAGAGACCAGGTAGGGATGTGGGGAGGATGTTCCATGGGTTGTTAGAGTAAGAAGCTCTGGTGTTCTATGGCAAAGCAAGACAACTTCAGATAACAATAGTGCTTTGTTTATATCCAAATAGTTAGAAGAGAGGATTTTGAATGTTCTTACCACAAAGAAATGGTAATTGTTTGAAGAGGTATGTATGCTAATTACTCTGGTTTGATCATTATAAAATACATACAGATATTAAAATATCACATTGTACAGCCTAAGTATGTACAACTAACATACATCAATCAAAAAGTAAAATACTGGGTATTAAAAACATGATGGTATGTAGAGCTATGGTGTAAATTCACTCTCTGGCAAACTGAAAAAAAAAAACTTGAGACAAAAGCTGGGAAAGGTAGCAGAATACAACAGTTACTAATAGGGCATTATGTAAAAATGTGGATGTGTAACCGACGTGATTCTGCAATCTGTATTTGGGGTAAAATTGGGAGTTCAAAACCCACTTGAATCAAATGTATGAAATATGTCAAGAGCTTTGTAATGTTTTGAACAACCAATAATAAATAAATAAATAAATAAATAAATAAATAAATAAATAAATAAAAAAGCTGAGATGAAGGAGAACAGGGTTGTCAGGACCACCTCCAGCTGAAAAGAAAATTCCCAGCAAACACTGAAGTCACACACAGTACAGTTTTGGATCCGAAGCAGAGAGGAGATGAGCCAGAGATATCTGGAAGCCAGCATTCAAGTTTTGAGGTAATGATAGTTCTTTTGCCCAAGGGATACCTGTTTCATTAGCTAAGGACATCCTTCCAAGCTATAAAAAATTACTGGATTTGAGAGACAGTTTCATAGCAACAGAACTAAAAGAAAATAGCTCAGTATGTCTGGTGAGAAATGAACAAGGGTTCAGAGTGTATCTCTAATCTCCATGGGGGGCTGAGATAAAGGGAGAGACAGGCTGGGACAATGGACTCTCCGAAAAGTCTCCTCACATTCAGGAAGGGCAGATACAGAAAATGCAGCACCTCTGGGGCTCTGCACACCAAGAGAAGTAAGTTGTCCCACCTAAGGCAGCAGATTGTTTCCAGAGCACAGCAGCTAATAGGACTGGAACTCTTAAGAACAGGTTTTCTTTGACCCAACATTTAGGAGTGGAAGGGCTTAGAGGTGATCAATCATTTAGAGTTAGATTGAATCTAAAGAAAGCAGAAGCCAACAAGCTGCCTGGAGCATTCCTGTGGTTGGTTAAAACTACAACTGCAATGTTCTGTGTGAAGTGGGTGACACACACATATTCTTGGGCTAAATATCCAATAGTAGGACCCTTGTTTGATAGAGTATGTGCACAGAAAAAAAAAATTGTTGATGTGCCAAGTAAATAGAATACAATGATTTTGCTTTTGAGAATAATTTACTTTTGAAAACTTTTTGAGGGAAACCAAATCATCTGAATGCCAAATAATGAAAAGAAAAGACTGGATGGACTCAAATCACTCCATGTTAGAAGCCAACTTCAGAGCGTGATGAAAGTCAAAGGTCACTTACCCTGATTCACTGTTACTCCTATAAAGCTACTGAAGTGAGGGGGGGGGGCGGGGAATGGAGTTAGGTGTTTGATTACCTTTCATCTGTCAGTGAGACTTTCTGCCAGTATTCAATCAATACAAATAATCTCCTCAGGTATTTCTTGAAACATGATAACGGTCTGAAGCCATAAGGAAAATCCATCATATCTTGTTGGGGCCAGTCTTCTTTGGCCGACATGCCATTCTTTCCAATGGCTGCCTGAAGAAAAATCTCCAAGACTGGATGAAATACAGTTCTAATGGAATTTGCCCACCGGGAGTTGTTGGGGAGGAGCCCTTTCCTGGAGAGAGCTATTCTACTTAGCACAAACTGGGTTGCTTTCTCAAGTTGATGATGGGTTATATTCTCAATCAAAGACATATTGAGAGAAAAACCTTTACTTAAATAATCTCCATACTCACTTTCAATTCCACTGGAGGCCTGTACAACTCTTTCTATGGTTTTCAAAAGGTTATCTGGATGCTGAGCAAATGTCAGGAATAGATTAAAAACACCCCAGTTATCCTTCTTCAAGCTATTCCAAAGAATTTCTAAAGTAAAATTAACCGCCATTTTCCAGTAAGTTCCTATTTCTGTGCTGCTTTCTGTTAACATTTTATCCAAGAAAAGAATCACTTCATGAATCCTTTCCTGCTCAGTATCTTGAGGGCTAGAATTTGGATTAAGCTGTAAAAAGTCCATTTGACTGGTAATGTTATTTATAGGAACTAAGCAATCCAGAATTTCTTCCCATAAATTGACAGAATCCCTAGAAAATACTTGAGACACATTACTAAATGCCACCATAAGATGCTCCAAAACCCCCAAATCAATTTTTGTAGAAGTTAAAAATTCAGCCATTTCTTCCAAAATATCAGAAAAGTCCTTGGATTGGTTCACGTAGGACAGTATGATAGATGACATACTGAAAATATCAGAGTCTTGTGAAATATTAGGTTTGACCCCAATCATCCCAAAGGCCAAGTCAAGAAATGGCAGTAATGAATCATTTATCTTTTCAAATATAAAATGATCTACTTTTTTCAAAGTAGTTATTTTCTTCACAAGATGTTGAACACTTTGGTGCATAAAGGAATAGAGAGTGTCAAAGAATTTCATGGTGTCCTTGGTACTAGAGATGAAATGAGTGTCAAAAATCATGGCCATCTGCCCTGAAACTTTCTTAGCTAGTTTGAGAAATTTCACAGTGGAGTCCACTGATATGGCAAGATCTCTCAGCTCAGCACTGTCACTCAAAAGCATGGTCAGAGTTCTAGACATTTCTAAGAGAGGTTCTAGGACATGACTATTTTCAGAAGCTCTAGAAATAACACCAAGTAATCTCTTAGTAATTTCTAATGTTTCTCTGTTTCTTAGAAGATTTGAGTTATGTATAAAGGAAAGCAAATTGGTTAGGTTAGAAAGTATAACTTCTTGGAGTGTAGGATATAAGGTATGGAAGTCCTTATTTAGAGAGTTTAAAAGAGTATCCATAAGATTGGCTATCTCTGTGGAACTTTCTCTCATGAGATGAAGAACTGACCTGAGATTTTGGTTAAGTTTGAAGAGCTCCTCAGTACTATTTATATGGAAAAGCAACTGACTCACCACTGTAAGGAAATTATCTTCAGACTTATTTTTCATTGAGGTTTCCCTTACAAAGGCATGCAATAAATCTTTTATGAATTCCATTCCTTGATGGTTATCAAAATAAAGTTCTCCATTGTCTAATATAAATGAGCTTTTGATTAAGTGATATATAGTCTCCTTTAAACTTGAGAAAAAATCCATGAATTTGTCTTCATTCTTCAAGGTAAGAAATTGATCCAATTTCAGAACTTCTAGAATTTTATCTTTTGGAAAAAAACTGAAAATATATATACATATATATTTTAATTTCATATTTAATACATTAGCAATAAAATGACTTAAATATATAGTGACTATTATTTTATTTGTTTTATAATAAAATAACATCATGAAATTATAACATTGAATGAAAGATGATATGCTAAAATAATTCTATATCGCAATTAATATTTTTGTTGTCAAATAATGAAGAGTGAAGGGATTTCATGAAGAATTCTATTACAATTCTTTGAACCTAACAATTTAAAAAGCCACTTATTTTTGTATTTAGAAAAGAGGCAAAACGATTACAAAGTGGTTCTGAAGAAGTAGAAAGCGTATTTATATTTTTCTGAATTTTAAAAAAATAATAGCAGATCACTTGAACACTGATGATTTTGTAATCCATCAACTTGACTTGGCTAGACAATAGGCCCCGAATGCCCTTTTTTGTATGTCTCTGAGCTTAGTGGTCCACAATAAAGAGTCCCTCCTGCAGTTGAAGGATATACAGGAGTCAGAGGCCATTTTGTAGCATTAATATGCCTCCTACCAGCTATTCAATCCAACACTAATCTAGTGTTGGAAAACAGATTTGGCAGATGTGATTTAAATCCCTACTCAGTTAATTTCAAATTAGCCAGAAGAGACATTATCCTAGGTGGGCCTGACATAATCAGCTAGAAGGTTGGTTGTAAAAGAGTGTGGGTTTTGCCTTACCTAAAGACTCTGACCGCAGCTCGGTAGGCACTTGGTCTCTCCTGCCCCTGAGTCTTCCTCTTGACCACCATTTGGGGCCACAAGCTTGATTTCATGCCTCTAGTGTTCCAGCTGGCTATGACATTTCCCCCCTGACAGCCTTCCCTAGTGATTTTGAACTTGCTTATCCAGTGCCCAAATTTATATGAGCCCATTCTTTCAATTCAGTCTTTGCTGGTTCCATGGTTACAGTCAGGACTGTAACAAAATGGAATAAATTGTAATTTCCCTCCAACATTTTACTAATAAGCTTCAAAGAGATTTTTTTTTTTAAATACATGGATAAAAGTAATGTGACTATTGATTTTAGTGCTTCCAAATGTAAACAACACACTAGATGAACTGGAATAAAAATATATAAACCCTTTATGTGTGATGGGTTAATACAGTTAATACAGCAATTCAAATTATGACCCTCCTATATGTGAATATTCATCCATAAAAACTAATTTTTCAGTTCCATATAAAATGGAATTTCAGGCCAGATGGGGTGGCTCACGCCTATAATCCTAGCAGCTCAGGGGGCAGTGGCAGGAGGATCATGAGTTCAAAGTCAGCCTCAGCAATTTAGTGAGGCACTATGCAACTCAAAGAGACCCTATCTCTAATAAAATGCAAAATAGGGCTAGGGATGTAGCTCAGTGGTCAAGTGCCCCTAAATTCAATCCACAGTACCCCCAAAATAAATAAATTAATTAAATAGTATTCAATAATTGTTTTTATCATCTAAAAAGTAGAAAAATATATATGACTACTTATCACAGGATAGGCCTAAATGCTTACTATTTAAGTAGAAATAACGAAATTATTTTACTTTGATATTTTGATAAAATTCTTATGAAGACACATTCACTTTAAATATCATTCAAAATTTTTAGTGTACAATTGTCATTTATTAGCATTTTTGTACTCCAGAAAAGAAAGTGGTTTGAGACGTACTGCAATTGAATGAACTATGTACAAAGCAAAAATACAAACCAAACCACTCACCTCATCTCTGCAATAGCATCTTGGTGGAAGTCTTTTAGCAAAAGAGATATTTTGTTCTCAGAATTTCCCTTTAGTAAAGGGGGAAAGAATGTTCTCAAAAACTGTTCTATGAAATCCACTGTGCTCCTTGGAGGGAGAATGGTTTTCCCACTATGGTCCGATGGCATGTGGTTCAAGGTGAGGTTAATTAAATTCATTATTTGAAGGTCAGCATCACTTAAATTTGGGGCCAATTCTTGGGACCTCCCAGCTAAGTTATTGATGGAATTAATCAGAATGCTTTCAAGAAGCAACTGAACAACCGAGAAATTGGTTAGCTGCTCTTGATTTAGCAGATGAGTAAGAAAGTCAACGTCAAAATCACCTTCTCTGGAAATGTTTTTCAGATAATGCAAATAGTTAGTCATATCTTTAGTTACATCATCAGTTGAACTCTCGATGGTCACAGGAACAAATAATGTTTGTGTCAATTTGGAGTAATCTTCATTTGCAATTTCATGAAGCCAGTTTTTTGTGTCCAACAGAAAATCTTCATCAATTTCTAATGTCCCCAATGATGATGAATCCATGCTTTCCAGAAAGTGGGAAAGTTGTGAAACTAAGCTTTGAAGGGCCATGGAGTTTATACTTTGGATTTCCTTTTTAATTATAGAGAACAGGTGCCTAATACTAAAGTCATGGGTTAGGTCTTTCATGGTTTGTTTAAAGTCAAGCCATAGTTCTTCAAGGTTGTAAATAGCTTCACTATTTTTAATAAAACTTGTTAATGCTTCTAAACCACCACCCATGAGACTTGCATTCAGAAGAATTGTGATTGGAAGGAGTGAATAAGGCCTGTTATCTTCTAGACTCCAATCCCCAGAAATCAACTTGATCATCCTTTCCAAATTTAAGGAAATATTATTTCGGACAAATGCCTCTGTTCCCTCAGTAATGTTAAAAATCTTATTTACACCAGCCAGTTTGTTAAGAATGTTTTCCCCAGAAGCAGCTTTTGTCAAATTGACACGTTTTAGCTTTTCTATGATTTGCAAAACAACTTGCTTTATGGGACCACCAGGACAATGTTCAGCAATGCTGTCATTACTTTGATTTCCAGAAAGTGAGACAAATGGTAACACCTTATGCCAAAATTCTTGCACAGTTTTCATCAGAGAGGTTTTAGCATGAAAGACTTCGGACAGTGCTAGAAGGATGGAATTCCAGTCTGCTAATTCATGAATCACACAAATCATTTTCCTACTTATTTCCATTCGTGAACTTTCATTTGAACATTGTGAATCTTCACCTGGGGGAGACAGGTGGAGATGGTCAAGTATTATGGCCACTTGGTGATAAAAGGAAGAAGACATAAGCCCATGGACTTCACAGGCTTCCAATTTTGGATTCTGCTGAAATCCAGAAGTTGTATGATTCCAGCACCAAACCACAGGAAGGCAGTTTAAAGCCTCTGAGACAATGGCTGGTTGGTCTGATATTAATGTGATTGTATGCAGAAGAGCTTTTATCGCACCAGCAAAGTCCTTCTTGGTGATGTTTGAAATGCTGATGCCGTGAAGGAGTGTGAAGTTATAGACATCCTTGAGGGCCTCTGTGATGTTTTTGTCAGCCACTCTCTGCAGGAGACTCACAACATGAGGAAGAGCATAATACAAATCCACCACTGTGTTCACATCATCCTTGGGAAACAGGCGAGAGAGCTTGAGCAGATGATTGACATTCCAAGCATGGGAGCTGTCTGCGAATTTCTCCATCAAGCCAAAAAGCAAGTTGACCCCTGAATTGCTGGTATCTAATCTACTGAGATTCTTGAAGAAATCCCCAAGGCCTTCACTAATGTGTTCAAGCTGATCTACTAAAAGGTCTATGTCTGCCTTCTTGAGAGTACGCATGAGAGAAGCCACCTTCTTTAAAACTTGAGCATGACCTGAATTTTGTGGGATATTGTGAGAAACAGTGGGCACTAAGGAATTGAACACATTCTTCATCAACTGAATAACAAGATCCACAACTCTCATTAGTTCATGTGAAATTGTTTCTGGTGGGTTTTGAAGATCATGAGATAAGTTGAAGAAGGCAAGGTAACTAGCTAAATGATAAACTGAATTGCCTAAACTCTTTATATCATTTTCCTTTGGACTGGTAGCAAATATGTTAAAATAATTTTCAGTTTCAGAAGAGGAATTATTTTCCAGGATATTAGAGAAAATATCTTTTACAAGTTTCTGAATTTCCTTCCCCAGTGCTATCAAATGCAGCCAAAGATTTTGAAACTGGTTAGGAATTTCCTGTGACATTGCTATGGGTCTTAAAACTAATTCATTAAAATACTTCCAGTTGGATTGGGAAACAAAATCAAAGTCTCTTGTTAAGTTGTTTATAACCATCCTTACTTGGTTTGTGGAATCATTCAAAAGAGCTAATAAAATCTCAAATTTTGGTACCTTCTCGTTTTCAAAGACTGTATTAAGTACAATATTTAGAAAGTCAGTTATGTCTTCCAAGTAAATATTTACACAACTTATGTTGGACTCACCCAAGGAACAAAGTGGTTTCTTTATATGTATCAGCCAAGTTACCATTTTCAATGTAGAGTTCATTTTGTTGTCCATATCTTTGAAACTCCCCAAAATACTGTGAAGATAACCTTGTGAAAAACTTGAATTATATATTACATACAAACGGTTGATGGCATCTATCCATGCCATGCATCCTCTCAGTTTGCTAACTGTGTTCTCAGAGGAGAATGTGCAATTTAACATGTCCAGAATACGTACTATCCGCTGAGAGCTATTTACATGAAATAAGCCTTCTTCTAAAATCAACTCAGTTACATTTTGGAAAACATCAGCACAGGACAATAAATCTTGATCATGGGACACATTTCTAAGAACTAATATTGTTTCTCTTAGCTCAGTGATCACACTTTGAAATTTGTTATTTCCATGATATGTGAGATTATTTAAAAGAAAATGATTTATCGGGTCTACGTTACTACCCACATATTCTGAGGTCTGGCTTAACTCAATGAAAACCTCCAGCAGAGAATATAATAACTCTCTGCTTGTGTTTGTGCTCAATGGAAGTGTCTCTAGCTGGTGCAGGGTGGTTTCCATGGTGAAAAGGGTTTTCTCTACTTGGTCCAAGGTAAGTGATTTTACTGCAACTAATGCATCACCTAATGCTACCCAGAGATCCCTGAGATCCAGCAAGTCATGCCAATCCTGAAAATTATCAGCTTGAGTCACACTTTTAAACAAATTTATTATGAGTCTAGCTGCATGGTGGGTGGGAAAGACTCCCTGGCAGCTTTCAGAAATTTTCACATCATTTTCCAATTCATCCAAAAGCTGAGTGAGCCCTACATGAAGAGAAGTGAAGATATTCAGGTCAAACTTAAATATTTGAGATATGCTTCCCCAGATTTCAGTCCACATTTGAAGCCATGAAATGGTACAGTGAATGGCCAGAAACTCATTCAACACACTGACATTTGCTGAGAGGTCTGAAAAAATTTGTGACCATGGAAGACTAAATGAAGATCCCTTATCTGTTAAATAATTCATAGAGGAAATGGTTTCATTATCCAAAACAAAACATTCATCACCCAACAGGGCTTCTACTGAACCATTGAAGAGCTGACTGACATATTGAAATAAAGACATGCGAAAACCTTCATCTGCTATGAGCAGCTGTTTGAGGCCTGTCAAGGTAGCATGGATCACTTCTAATTCTTGGCCTTCTGTAGACATCAGGGATTGAGCTTGAAGCTCCAAAAAGTTAAAAACTGAAAACAACTGCTGACAATAAGATACTTCAGAAATTCCCCCAAGAATCTCTGCAGTCTCAGATAAAAATTCAAATGCTTTACTGATGTTTTGGAAATTAAATTGCTTTATGATGTTCAAAATATGTCTTGAGATTTGGGTAAGGTACATTAGCAGAGAATCTCTACTCCGTAGGCTCAAGAATTTATAAATATATTGGTAAAAGGAAGAATAAATTTGCAGAAGTAAAGCTGAATCCTTGTCTTTGAAGACATTTAGGTATATGTGTGTCAAAATGTTATCAACTTCTTGTTTCTGAGGTTCAGAGAGGGCTGAGAAAATATCAGATGCATTCTTTACAACATAGACCGTGTCCAGAACTTCTGAGACTTGTTCCTGCCTAAGTAATCCAAATTCGTAGAGACTATTCATCACAGTTTCACTTAAATGTACAAAATCTATGTTCACTGCTGGTGATTCTGACCAATTTGAGTGGGATAAATGGGAAAAGTTTATGCTTTTACTAAAAATTTTCTCATTTTCTGGAACAGAAGAATTTAAAAGTGAAGAAAAATTTTCCAGTTTAGCCTTTTCTCCTTTAGAAATACCATACAGCCATAATTCTAGAAGTTTGGGGTTAATTTCAAGAAGTATTAATTCCAAGAATCTCAAAATATTTTCAGGTTGGTTCTTCATCCAGTGACTTCCACCAGTTTGCAGTTTTTCAATCACCTCTTTCCCAAATTCTAAAAGCTCCTGAGCTTCAAAAGCAGGTGGGTCTGTCTCTAAACTCCACAAAACACTTCTATTTAGAACTTCCTTGTTGAGAGATGAGTTGTGGAATTTGGGAACCCTGAAGGAGTTGAAAGGATTAGGTAGTAATAATTTCTCCCAAAATTCCACAGATGATAAAAGAAAGTTCATCTGTTCATCCTCAGAGACATGAAACTTCTTTTCCATCACCAGAAGGTGCTTTGTGCAGTTTAAGGCCCTACAACATTAATAGAATTGTTTTAGTATCAGAAAGAAAAAAAAATTATTCAATGTATCAAATTTCTAAGGTACTGGTCACAGTAAACCTAAGTGAAATATTTACTAGACAATACATTTTCCAGTAGACATAAAAACTAATGTGATCATTTGAAAATGTTTTAGAATTCCACAACACAGTTGCATATCTTCAGATTTAAATGTTTCCTACAATCAAAAAGAATGTGTGCTAAAATTTTTCTTCTGTGAATTCATAGGTAAACGATATTCATTGTTAAAGAAAAGATTGCTGTTTATTTCAGAAGAATCTTAGGATTCATTTTCTCATTTCATCTCAAAATGTCTTGGGCTATCAAGGTAGTTCAAATAGTGAGACACATCAGAAATGGTGCCTGTATGATTTAAGGAAAACTTTTGGGATTCCTTGTGCCAGGAGGCAATTCCAATTCTCTTTTATGTTAGATGGGGTACTTCCTCTCAAGGTTTTTATTTTTAAAATACAAAGAGTTCTCAGAAAAGCAAATCAGAGTTTGTGAGATGTGCACTCTTGCAGAACGAACTTAAAACTCAGAAGTCACAGCCACTTTGGAAATCCATGAATGATCTGACTTTAGATCATATCTAAAGTCAGATCACTAAGACTTTAGAAAGGTTATGTGATATGAATATTTGATAAGTGTCTACACTGCATTGGCTCAGGCAGCCCTGACACCAACATGTTGATACCTCTGCAGTGACACCTGTGAAAGATATCACCATGTTGGGTCACCAGACCTGAAACAATTGCACATGGTTCAGGTGGTATCCCTGCTGTGTGTTTTATGATGCCAGCCATAAGAACAGCTTTTATTGCCAGACTTCAAATGAGTTCAGAATTATGGATAAAGAATTTCAGACTTTATTGGATATTAATGCCTAGATAGGTAAATTCCTCTCTAACTTCTTTAACACTCCATGTCTGGCATAGGGTACTACAGAGAAGATCAAATACACGAATGTTATTGTCCTCTCTAATATCTAAGATCAGAGCACTATGTATCTAGTGCATTATATATGTGCATATATGTATGTATACATACATACATGTACATGTGCGTACACATGTTTAATATATATACAGGTGTGTATACACATATATACACACATATACATACACATATGTATATATGCCTAATTGCAGTGTCAATTGTTGTTTGTAAAATAGAGTGGCTATTTTGAAAAAAAATTCCCTATCAGTACCAGTAATAACATTACCACATTTGTTCATATCACTTTACAGTTAATGAAGCACTTTCACAAGTATAATCTTCTTTCTTTCCTACAACAGCCTTTTGAAGTACACATCATTATTTCTATTTCATAGAAAAAGAAATATTTCAAAAACTTTTTAATTTAACCATACTGTTAGTACATGGCATGGACAGGACATGGCCCAAGTTTTCAGATTTTGAATTCAGTTTTGTATGCTAGGCAAGCACTCTACCACTGAGCCACACCCACACACATACCCTTGAATTTAACTTTCTACATTAATTGCACTTAATTTCCAATGTGGTTTTTTGTTGTTGTTGTTGTTGGTTATTAGATCAATATCTAATTATCTAGCCTCTTTCACGAAAGACACTGCACTGGTTGTAATGGGTATAAAAATGAATATCATTGGAACACATCTAGACTACTTTGATTGTCCTCTTTTGTTTTAGTCATCTTTTTTGCTACTGTGACAAAGGATCCAAACAGAACATTTTTAAGGGAGGAAAAATTTATTTGACTGTTCACGGTTTCAGAGATCTTAGTCCATAGAAGGCTGGCTCCATTTCTTGGGGCTTGAGATGAGGCTGAACATCATGGTGGAGTGTGTGGCAGAGGGAAGCAGCCTTTCAAGATACAAAATATATACCTGTCCCATAGCCACGTCATCAATTAACCATTCCTCCAGCCACATCCCACCTGCCTCCAGTTACCAATTAATCCCATCCTGGATTAATTCACTGATTAGGCTAAGACTCTTACAACTGAATCATTTCTCCTCTGAACCTTCTTGCATTGTCTCACACATGAGCTTTTGGGGGACATCACACATCAAACCATAACGGCTTTCTACTGCTTTGAAATATTTGAGACTTTCAGTAAAGTGGGAAATTATGAATTTGACATCAGCATCGGGGCTGACTTTTTAGAGTCCATTACATTGTCCCTTTTTGTGTGTGTGTGCTGATAACTGGGCTTAGAAAGTCTCATCTAACCATGGTGGTGAACCTCAGGTCTAGAGAGGTATAGCCAAATTGTCCTCCAATTTTGGTGTATACCAAAATCATCTGTGGAATTTGATAAAGATGCAGAAGCCTGCATCCTGCACACAGGGCAAGATTTAGGTACAAGGTACAACATTTGTATTCTTAGCAAGCTTCACAGGTAAGTTGGAACCACTTTCAAGAGTTTCTGTCCCATTAAGTTCCAATGCAGCCCAACAAACAATAAAACATGCTTTTAAACTGGACACAACATCTGTAATCATATAGGAAAAAATCCCCATCTCAAAATATATGTTGAAATAGCAAAGCAGCAAATAATCTGTCATATTTATTTCCAAAGATCACTTCCACTCCCTAGAGTCTCCAGAACTATCAGCACCTAAATCATTGATCCCATGTCTAAACTCTAGTCTAAACTCTAAAAAATGAGACAAGTTTTCAAAGAAATACTTTTGGTATCTGTTATGACTCTCGTAACCATTAATGAAAATTGAATTGCTATAATCTGTATTTCCTTTCAAAATCCATGTTACAATTTAGATATGGGGTATCCCCCAAAGCTCATGTATGAGAAAATGCAAGAAAGTTCAAAGGTGCAATGATTGGTTATGAGAGTCTTAACCTAACACATGCATTGATTCCCTGATAAAGATTAACTGGATGGTAACTGTAGGAACGTATGGTATGGTTGGAGGAGGTGGTCACTGAGGGCATGCCTTTGGGTTTTATATTTTGTCTGTGGTAAAGGGAGTCTCTATCTATCTATCTATCTATCTGTCTGTCTATCTCTATCTCTCTCCCTTTCTCCCTCCCTCCCTCCCTCTCTCTGTGCTTCCTGGGGTCATGTCCTGAGTCACTTTCCTCCATCACACTCTTCCACCATGATGGCTCTGAGGATAGAGCAAACCATCTATGGACTGATACCTCTGAAATCATGAGTGCCAAATAGAATTTTTCCTTCTCTAAAATTGTTTTTGTAGGTCTTTTGGTCACAGCAGCAAGATAGCTGACTAAAATACCATGGAAACTTGAGTCATATGGTCTATAAATAAATATTTATTGAGCATCTAGTAAATACTGTGTCGACATCAAGCTCATAAACATTAAAGAATGCATGTCCTATAATTAGGTCTTGTTTATCTTCAGATGATAGTTAAATTAAGACCTGGAAGTTGAATTCCAATAACTTACCTGGATATGGAAGTTTTTGGAGAAGTCAATAAGTCATTCAAAAATGTAAAATAATTATCACTGATGATTTTCCAATCCATGTTTTCTGCATAACAGGGAGATTTCTTAGAGAAAGCTAAAAAATAATTGATATCAAATGTCATATAATAGACAAATCTAGGCAAGTGAAATATTTTAGTAGTTCACCTAATAGTATTAAAATGGGAAAAAGATAGATTGGAAATTTGTGATTTGATATCTGCTTTCATCCAAGGTGAAGTATCACTAGCCACTGATAATGCAGAACACTGACTCATAAAAGACAGAAAACAAGGTGAAACCTAGCTGGTTGACTTAGGAGAGGGTCCAGGAGGAACAAGAAGGGAGAAGTGAGCTGGACCTCAGTGGACATGCTGAGCTTACAAGATGAAGCTTAGAGTCTGAAGACAGGTAAAGTACAAACACAGAGAACAAGAGAGGGCTGTACAAAGCAAGAATGTCACCACATGCTTCCCTCCAGTATTCAGCTGAAAACAAATTAATCCATACATGTGAGGGAACTACTGGAAACCAGGTAGTTTAATCCCCAAATGATTAAAGATAGCAGTCTTTGGTCATCACACAAGACAAGCAATATACTCTATTTCCATTAGCCAACTAGAACAATTTACAATTCGTTAGTCAGTGAGCAAAGTATATATAAAGGGTTTTGCATCAGTAGTGGATAATATTTCCAACCAGACTTGAGTACATTGCCAGTCCTGCCTAAGAAATCTTAAAAGTAAGACTCTAGGGCTCAGGGTGTATTTCCATGGAAGAGCTCTTGCCTCACATGTACTGAATTCAATCCCCAGTACTGGGAAAAACAGAAAAACCCTAAAGGACTAAACTGTTTCCAGTAATTTGTCTCAAAAATGTTTATACAAATAGAAAAACACAGCACAATATAAGGTTAAAACTTGCAATTTTGGCATCCAATCAATAATTACCAGGCATGAAAAGAAGAAGGGAATTATGACCCATACTTAGGGGAAAAATTAATCAAACTGACAGATGGTGGAAGTAGCAAGGAACATTAATCACATTAAATGATTAATGTTATTTAATGTGTGCTATATAATTTACTCAGCTCAGTGAAAAGGAAAAACTTGTCAGTTCATATAAAATCAGACCTACCTGCATGCTGTACATAAGAAATGTGCTTGAGACATGAAGTCATAAATGAAAAGGATGGAAAAGATATACCACCCTAACACTAAGCAAAAAGTTATCAAAGTAGATTAGGTGATAATATCACTTGATGATGATAAAGACATCCACTGTTCAACAAGATAGAGAAATTCTAATATAAGGAGACTGACTCATAGTGGGGTAGGGAGAGGGAACATGGGTAGAATAGATGATTTCTAGACAGGGAAGAGGGGTAGGAGGGAAAGGGAGGGGGAGAGGATTAGCAAGGATGGTGGAATGTGATAGACATCATTATCCAAAGTACACATATGAAGACACAAATCGGGTGTCAACATACTTTATATACAAACAGAGATATGAAAAATTGTTGTATATATGTGTAATAAGAATTGCAATGCTTTCCACTGTTGTGTATTTAAAAAAATAAAATCAATTAAATAAAAAAGGAGTAATTCTAAACACATATGCACATTACAACAGAATTTCAGAATGAAATAAAAACTAATAGAAATACAAGGGGAAATAGGCTAATATACATTATATTCAGAGATTTCGGTACCCCAAAAATAAAACATTAGTAAGTATATAGAAAATTTGTACAATACTATCAACAATTTGATCTTCCATATATATAGAACATTCTACACAGCAATGACATAATACATACTCTTCTCAAGTGCACATGGAGCATTTACCAAAGTAGATTATATTCTAAACTATAAAACAAGCCTCAATAAATTCAACAGAATTAAACATACAAAGAGGGTTTTCACTCACCCAAATGAAATTAAATTAGAAATCAATATGTCTGACAAAAGGTTTATAACTTAAATATATGACAAACTTTCAAACTCAGTAAATATAGAAACAAAGAAACAAACAACTTGATTTTTAAATTTTTTTAGATGTTTATGGACCTTTATTTTATTCATTTATTTATATGTAGTGCTGAGAATCAAACCCAGTGCCTCACACATGCTAGGTAAGTGCTCTACCACTGAGCCACCACCCCAGTCCCAAACAACTTGATTTTAAAAGTAAGGAAAAGATTGGAACACACAATTCATAAATAAAGATATGCAGATGGCATATAAACACATCAAAGATAAACGTTTAAAATCATAACTCATAAATATAACTTAAATCCATAATAAGATATCACTATGTATATAATAAAATGGCTAAAATTAAAAAGACTACACATAACAAGTGTTGGAGAGATGTGTAGTATGAGAACCCTCATATACTGATGACAGTAATGTAAAATTATAAAACAACTTTGAAAAAATAGCTTGTTGGGTTTTTAATTTTTTTTAAGTTAAACATACACCTTCTATGTAATCCAGTTATTTTATTGCTAAAGACAATATATCATATTTTCACATACACAAATGTTCAAAGCAACTTAATTTGAAATAGCAAAAAATGCTACATAATCCAATTATGAATTACTTTCATGGACAAACTATGATACATCCATTCAACTGAAAAGTAATTAGTTACGAAAAAGAATGACCACACTAGGCATGGATGAATCTCAAATCATCAATGCTCATCAATTATGCTACATGAAACAGGACAGAAAAAGTACATATTGCATAATTCCATTTGCAAAATTTTCTAGAAAATTAAAACTATGGTGACAGAAAGCAGAGCAGTGATTGCCTGGGAACAGAGGAGGGGCTGGAATTGACAAAGGGGAACACAAAGAATAGGAGGTAGATTTGGGTAGTGATGAGTCTCATTGATATATTCATATTTCAAAAATACCAGGTTGTATACTTTAAATATGTATGTTTTATTGAATGTCTATTATATTTCAATTAAAACTTTGTGTGTGTGTGTGTGTGGTGGGGGGGGGGGGTACTGGGGATTGAACTCAGGGGCATTCAACTACTAAACCACATCCCCAGCCCTTTTTTGCATTGTATTTAGAGACAGGGTCTCACTAAGTTGCTTAGTGCCTGGCTTTTGCCATTCTTTTTCGTCACTGATTATTTTTCAGTTGAATGGATGTATCATAGTTTGTCCATGCAAGTAATTCATAATTGGATTATGTAGCATTTCTGGCTATTTCAAATTAAGTTGCTTTGAACTTGCGATTCTCCTACCTAGCTTCCTGAGCTTCTGGGATTACGGGCATACGCCTATTTCAATAAAATTTTTAAGACAAAAATCCTTCTAATTTGAAGCAAATAATTTAACCTCTGCAGTCTTTTTTTCACAAGTAAAACTGCATAAAACTTGCGCCCATTGCACCTCACTAATTTTCCATGGAAATAGAAAAGCTATGTGTCAGAAATTTTGTAAGCATTTATGGCAAGGGGGTAGGGGAAGATGAAAATAATTTAGAAAATTAGCATAGAGGTATGTGAATAACATCTGATAAGGATGAGTACTACAAAAAGAAAAAAAGCAGTATTCAAAAAATTTTTTATGCAAAAGAAGAATAGAAAATCCTCATATCAAATTTTCTGTTACTTGCAATTCATCATAATTTTGACATTCATTGCACTGGGGAAGGAAAGGGAGTTACTGTCCATCATACATGATAATGGTACTATGCTGGGCATTTTACATACACTATCATATTTAGCCTTCATAAAAACCAAGTAAAGTTAGTTATATAATTTTTATTTTACCAAGAATAAAAATGGTAAATGAGGGCCCACTCAAATAAAACCCATCAGATGCAATGTTTGATCTCAAGTCCATCTGCTTTCAAAATCCATGCCAAAATACCAAACTGAGACCATGTTTTAGCTGCATGATAAAACTACATTCTGCAAATTTAAATACCTACATTAGAACATTTAATTCATCTCTATTATATCACATTCTTAAGATGCACTGTTTTTTGTTTTGTTTTCTTTTTAAAGGAAAAAAAGAATGGATACAGGAAAGATGAATGCATAACAGGATTGTTCTGCTGTTATTCATGTTGTTCTGTAATTATTTAGTGCTTCTTAAACTTTCGTATACTTATAAGTCATCTGGGCATCTTCTTAAAATGTATATTCTGTATGTTAGAGAAGAGAGAGCCTTTTTAATAAATGATGCTGGGAAAACTGAATATCCCTATGTGGAAAAAGGAGACTAGATCCCTATGTCTCACTCTGCACAAAAGTCAAATCAAAGTGGATCAAAGGCTCAGGGATTATAGACTAGAAGCCTTGCAACTACTAGAAGAAAATAGGGCCAACACTTTCTCATATTGGTGTGGACACAGACTAAAAAAGACCTTTAAGCTCAAGAAATAAAACAAAGAATCAGTAAGTTAGAGGACATCAAGAATAAGGACCACCAGCAAAAATAAGTGATATAAAAAGGAAGACAAGGGTAAGAGAGAAAGTGAAGGTGTAGGATGATTCCCTCACCCAGAACATGTGGCAAACAACCTAGCACTGTGAACAGAAATACTGAGCTTCTTAAAGTGGGAAACAAAAGGACCCATCCTCTGGCATGTAGATTTGATATTTCATTGAATCCATATAGTGCATATGACCATTTAACTCCAGAAGCCTCTAAAAGCAGCAATTTGAAGAGGAAGAAAGGAAAGAACACAAGGTGGCCATGCCACAAGAGAAGAAAAGATAAATACCCATTGCTAGTTCCAGGCCCTCCATATCTGATATGCAGGCATTCCAAGGAGGAACTAACAACCCCAAGGAGATAAAGCAGGGTCAGGACATACCAGGAAAGTGGGAGATGTGGAAACAGACAACCAGCCCTAGAGCAGAAAGACAGAGTCAGAAGTACACATTTCACTTGGGTTTTGACTTGGGTTCAAAAAAGCATATGTGGCAGGAGGTGGGAAGACCTTGTGAGTCATGCAGTGGAGTTTATAAATTTTAGGGAATTTTTTACTTTATGATACTGGCAAGGAGAAGAAAGCTATGATACAATAGGAAATACATATATTTGGTCACTGATTTTGTTTCCTTGGCACAGAGCTCCAAAATCCTCAAAGAGATAAGTGTCTTTTAAATACTAATAAGATAGCTGGGGGTCTTGTGCCTGAGCCAGTATGTTGGAATGTTGACCCTATATTTTCTTCTAGTAGTTGACATGTTTCTAGTCTAACTCCTACATCTTTGATCCGCTTTGAGTTGATTTTTGCACAGGATAAGAGATAGGGATCCAGTTTTTCATATATATATATATATATTTTTTTTTTATATATTTGTCAAGGGTCAGACACTATATTTATGTGCATTTTTCTCTGTCTTCTGTTCTATTTCATTGGTTTTCATGTCTGTTTTTATGCCAATACCATTTTGATTTTGATTTTGTTTTATAGTCCTGAAGTATAATTTGAGACAAGGTATTGGGATGCCACCAACATAACTCTAACTGTTCAGCATTGATTTGGCTATTCTGGGTCTTTTATTCCTCCATATGAATTTTAGGATTATTTTTTCTAGCTCTGTGAAGAATGTCATTGGCATTTCAATGGGGATTCATTGGGGATTGCACTGAATCCATATAGTGCATATGACCATCTTAACAATATTAATTCTGCCTATCCATGAATATTGAAGGTCTTTGCCTCTTCTGAGGTCTTCAGTTTCTTTCTTCAGTGTTCTATGTTTTTATTGTAGAGAACTTTCACCCCCCTTTATTAGATTTATTCCTACAGATTTTTTTAGGCTATTATAATGGAATTGTTTTCCTGACATTTTTATCAGCAGATTCATTAATGGAGTATAGAAAAGCTATTGATTTTTGTATGTTGATCTTACATCCTGTTACTTTGCTGAATTTGTTTATTGGCTCTAGAAGTCTTTTACTGGAGTATTTTGGGTCTTCTAAGTATAGAATTGTGTCATCAGCAGAGATAATTTGACATCTTCTTTTCCTATTTGTATCATTTTAATTTACTTCTCTTGCCTGATTGCTCTGGCTAGAGTTTCAAAAACTAAAATTAAAAAGCTTCTGCACAGCAAAAGGAAACAATTAAGAGTATAAAGAGAGGACCTACAGAATGAGAGAAAATCTTTGTCAATTACTCTTCCAATGGGAGAGTAATAACCAGAAATATATATATATATATATATATATATATATATATATATATATATATATATATATATAAACATTTAAAAATGTTTAAAAATTAACATTAAAAATTATATATATATATATATAAATTAACATTAAAAAACAATTCAATCAATAAATGGGCAATTGAACTAAACAGATACTTTTGAAAAGAAGTGCAAATGGCCAACAAACATAAGAAAAAATGTTCAACATCCCTAGCAATCAGGGAAATGAAAATCAAAATTACACTGAGATTTCATCTCACTCCAATTAGAATGATAATAATCAAAAACACAAATAATAATAAATACTGATGAGGATGTGGGGGGAAATATACACTTATACATTGCTTGTGGGACTGAAAATTAGCACAACCACTATGGAAAACAGTATTGAGATTCCTCAAAAGATGAGGAATGGGCCCACCCTATAACACAGCTATCCCACTCTTTTGGTATTTATTCAGAAGAATTAAAATCAGCATTCTATACTGATACATGCATACCAATATCTGTAGCCACATAATTCACCATATCCAACTTATGAAACCAGCCTCACTGTCCTTCAATAGACAATAGAATAAAGAAAATTTTATATATATATATATATATATATATATATATATATATATGTGTGTGTGTGTGTGTGTGTGTGTGTGTGTGTGTGTATACACACACAAAAAAATGGGAGTTTTACTCAGCCATGAAAAAAGAATGAAATTATGACATTTGCTGGCAAATGCATGGAACTGGAGATCATGCTAAGTGAAATAAGCTAGACTCAGAAAGCAGAAAATCAAATGTTTTCTCTTATATATGGAAGATAGAGAGAAAAAAGAAATTTTAAAAAGGAGGGGCTCTCATTAAAATAGAAGGAGGAACAGTGGAGTAGAGGAAGGTGAATGAAGGGAAAAAAGTGGGGATGGGAAAGGAAAGAAACAGCAGAATGAAGTTAACCAAACCATATCACAATGAATTCCACACCTGAGTGTAACTGTAATTCACCAATTTTAAAAATTCTATTTAAAAAACATTGCTTGGGGGGGATGGTTCCTAGACAGCCTCAGGATAGAAGCTGATTGTCAGAAGAACCAACCATGTAATTAAAGGGTTCCAAGTTTCACCCCACCCTGTACCCTCTCCTTTACTTTCCCCCTAATCACTAAGGTGAGGAGAAAAGCTGGAGGTTTTATTAATTGCTAATGGCCTATGATTAATCTTGATTGCATAACAAAACCTCCATGAAAACCCCAAAGGGAAGGGGCTCAAAGAGCTTGCAGGTTGTGCACTCCTGGAGGTGCTGGGAGGGTGGTGCACCCACAGAAGGCGTGGAGGTTCTGCACCCCTGACCTGCCTCCTCCATACCTTGTCCTATGTATCTCTTCCCTCTTATGGTTCCTCAGTTATGTCCTTTACAATAAGCAGTAGTCTTGTCTGAAAACTGTTTCCCTGAGTTCTGGGAGCTGTTCTAGCAAATTGTAGAACTTGAGGAAGGGGTCACAGGAACCCTGATTTGTAGCCTATCGTCAGAAGGCAAAAGGGAGGCCCACACTTGGAGTTGGCATCTAAAGTAAGGACAGCCTATGTGAGACTGAGAACTTCACCTGTGACATCTGATACTATCTCCAGGTAGGCAGTGTTGGAACTGAATTGAATTATAGGTCACCAACTGGTCTCCAAAGAGAATTGGAAAACTGCTTCGTATGGAAAAAACCCACACATTTGGGCACAGAAATCGGAAGAGCTGAGTATAGAGAAAACTTCAGTTTTTTGAATTGTTGTTGTTTGGGGTTTGTTGTTGTTGTTGTTTTCTCTGCACTTATAACAGGTCCACTTCATGCTTTGAAGATAAACCTTGCTAGTCCACCACTGGAAGCTGATTTTGTTAATTTGTATTTTTTACCCCTTCTTCTTTTCGGTTTCCCATTCCCAAACCATGGCAGAAGCAAGATTAACCTTCTTTCCATCCGAGACCAAGTTATCTGTTCTTTGGCTCAGAGACCTCAGAAATAAAAGAATTCAGACTTCATGACTGGCACCAGTGGATCTAAACAGCTCTCTCTCAAAGCTACTGCTTGGATAGGAATTATGACTCCTGTGAGGGCTCACCTGGAAGTTAGCCTTTGTAACCCCTCTTTAAAAGCCCACAATTCCCCTTGACAATGAGAATCACAGCCTCTTAGACAGGAGGCCCATAGCAAAGCAATAAAATTTCTTTTTCCTATTGCTCAAAACCTTGTCCTCACTATTAGAGCAGCTTCAGGGAAAAGGACGGAGATTTCAGGATCACACTGAGCATGATCAGCATGAGACATTTTCTTCATTATGAGGGATAGACTTAGTGCTAAATCAAATGAATAGGCCACATAGGAAGTCCATCAGGACTCTCATGAGGAGGGTCATGATTAGTCTGCATGTGCATTTATCTAAACCAGAACAATCCCAAGAGGAAAATGAAAAAGTGCTGCAAGGACCCAGAGAGGGTGGGGTCTTGTCATAATGGAAGGGAAAAGCCTGACTGCAGTAATCATAAGAGTGAATTGTCCTTGGAGAACCTTCCATTTTAATCTGCCCTTCATGAAGTAGGATGGACTTTTGTGATATCATCTTACCTCACTAACTGAAGAAAATACCCCACACATTCTTGTCTCTAGCCTTACCCAGAAGACTGTCCTGGAAACTTCCTTGCATGTTCACACATCGTGCCACTTTACAAGTCTTCCTGAGAAGCCCTAGGAAGGCCTTCCCATAGGGTATCTGTTCCAGGGACGGTTGTACTTTTTCAAGCATATGAAACATCCTGCAGTCAAAAAGAAGCCAGAGATGATAATGATGCTCCAGATGGCAGGTCATTATAAATCCATCTAAACACAGACATAGGCAAATGTCTGGCAGTCCTCATATGAAAGAAATTAGATTCTTCGAAATGGTTCACTTAATATTTGTTTGTTTGTTTATGAGTTCCTCCACCCTGATTTACAAAGTGAGGGAAAACCATTTATGGGACCACATAAAATACAAGAAAGAGTAAATCAAGAGAAAAGAAAGAGGGAAAATAAAGAACATAAAATAAAATGAACTTTGAGGCCAAGAATACATTCCCTACTTGATGTATTTGAGTGTGAATTTCCTAGCATCTGAGGAAAGTAGAAATTGATCACACGTGTAATTTTCAGAGTCATAAAATAAAAACAAGGCAAATTTTCTGGAGAATCAGGACTCCCAAGGCAAGACTCCCATTAGTAGTTAATGTGATAATTCTGAGTATAGTTCCAACAAGAACCTCAAACATATGCATTCCTTAGACTCAATTAGTTCCTGAATTTCTTATGAAAGATTCAACCAATAGTTAAATTTAAGGGAACTGTTTAATATGTTATAGTTTTTAGATGCTTTCTAAAAACTATATACCAAAAGTTAGATTCAAAATAAACATCTTTCTATTCATTCATTAGCAATAGAATCTAAATATTGATCTATCATTTGAATGAGAAGCATTTGACCTCATTTTGATGACAAAGTATTGGGAAGTTTTCCATCCAATGCATACTCACAGGGTGGAGACAAGCTGGTGCTCACAGCCACCAGAGGAGACATGGGTCCCAGGTGAGGCAACAGCACCCTTCAACTGGAAGAGCTGAGAACAGGAAAGGCTCACTTCTGACAGCTGTGTCTCCAGTTCCTGCCAGCCCAAATACTCTTCCGGTACCGAAACTGGCATGTCTGTGTGCCCAGTAATGACCTCTTGCAAAATATGGTCCTTAATAAGAGAATAAAACATCACTTGTAATAAATAAAATCATTCAAATGTGGGTATTTGAAATGTAACCTACCTAGCCTGTGTAACCAGGGTTCCACTTGAATTGGGCATCAAAGACTATGAACTATAGGACCATGACTACCAAGTCATAGTGCTAGACTCGAATCTTTACTCATGTCCAAAATTATAGACCCCAAAATAAAACCTTATACAGCAATAGAGTCAGGTAACTTATAACCCACTTTATTAGGAACCCAATAAGCAGGGACCTAAGTAGCACAGTCAGTTGTGGTAGCTTGTATCCCCACAGGTCCCCAATAAACCAAGCCTTCTGAAAATTGAACTCTCAGTAATCTCCTCCCACAATTCATCTAGGCCTGGCTCTGACTCATATTAATCCACAAAGTGAAGCACAGGTGACTTATGCTAATTCCAGTCCTACCTTTTCTAAGCTGTCCTCACATGCTTTAAAAGCCTTTCTTCTGGCCTATTTTTTGGATGCCTGGATACCTTGTGAGAAGTCTATCTACCCTCCTGAGAAACTATGTGAGGAGGCTCCCCAGAGAAGAGAAGCCTGTGACTTCGGTGGAGCATGAGAGGTTCCAGTCCTCCACATCCCAGCTGAGCATCCAGAGTCCACCCCCCATGGCCCTCTGACTATAACTACAGGAGAAGTACCCAGTAAGATCATCAGAAGAAGCCCCTAGATAAGCCCAATCAACCTGCAGAGTCACAAAAGATAACAGATGTTTTGTTTTGTTTTCAGCCACTAAGTTATGGAATGGTTTGCTACTGACACATCTAAGCATCCTTAGAAAGGCTATCTCACATATATGTGACCTAGAAAAACACTCATCACTGCAGCAGATCCCGCTGGATCCCAGCTCCATGTGAGACTATGAGTTAGGCTATACAGACACAGGGAAATTTGAAATGGGCTTTCTGCCAGAAAAAAAAAAAATTATACCTGCTAGCAGGGAAAAAAAAATAATGTGCAAATAGGTAGAGTCTTTTCATGTGCTTGCATGACTTCAAACACACTTTTCCATCTGCCTAGCATTCTCTCTGACTTCTCATTGCTTCCAAATCTTATGTCTCATTTTAGTAAGTCTCATCAACATCTTAGCGGAGATTTACAGATGCTGAGCCCCTGTGCACTCATGCCATCTGCCCTGCTCAGCCAAGAGACTGTGTTCATGTTTGTACTCTCTTCCACATGCCACCTTGCCAAGCAGACACTGAGAAAGCATTGATGGCTGAACTATGTACACATGACCATTCCATGTTCATTTTCCTGTGACATTATCACTGGTTTTATCTCATGGCATGTAAGGAAGAAGTTAAAAAAGAAATAGGTAATTCTGGAAGGAAAAAAATGAAGAAAAAACATATTACTATAATGTTTAGTACTCAGGAAGAAAAATAGAAGCTAGACTTGACATAATAATCTTTCCCAAAAAATTGCCGAATAGTCCCAAGTTGAGTGCTCTGCAAAGGTGAGCACTCACAGAAGTGTTCTGGGCTGTGACATGACAAACACATGATTTTCAAAGTCTGTGACCCTGAAAGCCAAAGCTCTGCTATAAGTTGACTGATCACCAGAGTTATCCCTCCACTTTTCTCCCCATATGCAGCTAGAAATGGAACAGGATAAATGGCCAGGAAACCAGAGAAGCAGAAGTGCCTGGTTTGAAAGTTTGAGATTGTCTTGGGGAAGGTCAAATTGGTTTTGGTAGACTCAAGGGCACACACACTCCCAAGCTGTCAGACAGAAGGGATGGAATTGAGGAACACAATTCAGGTGGCCAGTTTCCTTTAGGTGTATGAACAATTAATTCAAGATTAGCATCTTCAGTTAAATTAACTGAAATTAATTTCAATTAATTTAAAAAATTAACCTTAGATATGAGCCCAGTTGGTGCCCATGAAAGAGATCAGATAATGGAGTACTTACAACATCCTTTACTGTACCAAGTAGCCTGTTGAAAACACTGGTCTCGTTGAAGGAGGTATGGTTGCACAACAGTCCCCAGGAGTCCCTCCAGATCCCAGGGGGCAGAGGGACCTCCTTCTCAGACAAGCGTTCATTTAGGCAGGGAGCAGTAGCATTCTTCGTCAACATCTAAAAGATTAATGAGGATGGAAAAGGGTAACATTTAGAGAGTATAGTCATGCTCACCATGAGCTCAAGAACTACAAATAGAAACAAACAATCAAAATGTTAAAATGCAACCTAAAGTTCTTCAAAATGTGTCTATTCTCTTTATTTTGCTAGCACAATCCATAATAGGCAAAGCTTAATATTGCATGAGCTTCTTCAATGTTTTATGAAAATGGTTTATGTATAATCCTTGGCTGTGATTTACCTGCTTTAACCCTTCAAAGAACACATCCTTTTCTAGTTTCCATCGATCAGGTCTGCCCTGCATAGAATTGTTCGCTGAAGTCTCCAGGTGAATGAGGATTGCTGCAAGATCAACAATTCGATTTATTCCTCACCCAAGTTAGGCATCTTCAAGCTTGATTTCTATGTACAGTGTGAATCAATAAATTGAATTCTAAAAACACACATTTCAGTAAACTTGACCTGAGGTATTTCATTATCTTCCTTGGAAAGGAAAATGGGGAAAGACATTATAACTCTGTCTTATCCTTTTTGAAGACACATGAATATGGGTTCCTTGTTAGAGGAGAGTTTTGCTTCTTTAAAGCAATATCCCCTCCTCATTTCTTCTCCCTCCTCCATCAGATGACGAAAAGACAGCCCACTCAGGCAAAAATGAAAACCTGACTTCCTCAGAAGAGTGCAGAAAGAAAAGCATCCACCATAGTCATCAGAAGTTCCAAGGACTTAAAAGTTCCAAGAAATAAGATCTCTATCAGATACTGAGAAGCAGAGGGGAGGGATATAAAACATAATGATTCACTTACTCACAATGCACCCTGGTCCCTCTCCAGCCTGAGAACTGTTTCTGCTGATGTGAATGTAAAAGTCAGACTTCAGTCCTAGGAAACTGCCTATCCCAGCCCACACTGTAGGCATATATTGGACAGTAGGATACACCTGTCACTTTGACAGTTTTGTGTATTCAGTCATGGCATGCTGTATGTGAAATACCCCAGAAGGCTTCGTAACAAAGCATAAATATACATACAACAGCAGCATAACTTAGCTCCAAACTTTACAACATTGTCAGGCAGTTGCAAGTTCGTTTTCCAATAAATGTCATGTTTGCTCTTAGTGAGTTTCGGTGACAAATAACACTAGAGTTGTTTTACCTTGGATGAAATGCAAATCCTGGGCTATTGCATTCCTGAGAGCACCACCCAGCTGCAGCAATCTCTTTAGGTCTGGCCACTGGGGCAGGCTTTGCAGCACACTCTGCAATTTCTGCAGACTCTGTGATCTAAGAGCAAAAAGAAATGAGTGAAATGAAATGAAAGTGTTTTAAGGCACCAGCTAGGGAAATGAAACTCCCATGCAAATGAAAACATCTCACTGTTTTGAAAACTGTGTTCATGGACTGAAAGTCTCATTTCACCATCTAACCAGGTTCATGACAAATTGCATTATTTGTATCAGCTGATTTGTAGATTCTTTTAGGTACTGAATATGGACTAGACATTCTCTTTTATCCCAGAACAGGAAAGTATACTCCTAACAGTATGGAAAAGAAGTGAGGATTGGCATAAAATTCCAGGTGGAATTTATCACTTTTTGCCTCACAGTGTATGGATGAGATGTAGGAACAATTTGAGAAAAGTTTCAAAATATTGAAAAGCTGTATGGTGATGATATACAGGATCCATCAAAGTGGTCCCAACTAGGGCAAATTAACAACACCTGTAAGAGTCTCTGAAGTCAAAGGGGGACAGTCAGGCTGCCTGACACCTGCAGTACCTGGAGTTTTAGATGGCAGACATGTTGAAGATGGAGGTGGAGTAATGAACCTGAGGCCAGCTGCAAAGACTATACTATTGAGATGTTCACCTTCAAAGCCAAGCAGAAAAGTCACCAGGGGAAATGTTTCAAGCACTACTCCATTAGAGATGCATCTGCCTTCCTACCAGAGCATCTCACTAGGGCTGGCAGAAGAGACAAGTGATTCTCCATCTCTAGACTCCAGTCTGTTAAACAAGGTAATATATTCCTCAAATAAATGCAGGAATTAACTCAGAAGAGAAGCTGGAAAGAAAGTGAGTCTGAGAATGAGAGGAAATAGAAATGGAAGTGAATGTGGAACACTGAAGAGCCAAGTGGGGGGTCATGCTGTGGGGAGGCCACTGCCCAGAGCAGGCAAATCCAGGCTGAGTCTTCTTGCAAGCACAGGGCGTCCTCAGCCATGACAAAGGCAAGCTCAAAGGAGAGAAGTGTAGAAAGATGTGGTTTCTAAAAACGCCAAGCAAAATGTTCCAATGGTGGAGCTCTGGCCATGCCACAGCTTTCAGCTTCTAGCCTGCATTTGGACTTTTCAACCCTTGGTCTTCACAGAATCTCAGTAGGCCTGGGTTAAAGGCAAGTTTGATAACTAGTTGCTGCTGTCCTGTAATTGGTAAGCTGATGGATCTGAGCACTGAAGAGGGTATAGAGAGATGGAGGAGGGTTCTGATGACAATTCTCCTACAAGAGATCAGCAGGAGGAAAACCATCCCCACATCCATCACCATGGATATATGCCTGTCCCTAGCCTGAAGCCAGAGGCAGCTTCTTGGACTGAGCCTCCACAGGATGAGGTAGGGCTAGAGTACTCACTCTCTGACACTTTGGATTACACTGAGGAGGAAACCTGGGGATTATGGAAAGAACTGGATTTATGGGCAAGAGGCAACTGTACTTTATTTTACTCTCTCCAGGGGGGGAAAAAAAGATAAACTGTGTGACCTGAAACTTAGATCTGGGCTGTCGAATTTGTTCGAGCTCTGGCCAGCAAGGACATCACATGGCCACCTCCGTGAGCAGACACTTGATAGCCACGTGTATGTTGCAGAGTCAGGCCTTACTGGAGCCTCCCTCTGAGTCCTCGGCTTACCAGGAACACAGATGAAGAGCTCTCACTGCCCAGTCACCTGACCGATGTGACTGGACAGGAGCAGACAAAACCTCAGAAGGTAAGAGGGTTGCTAATGACACCAGGTGCTCAGAAGGAAACGGAGAGCCTGATGATGTTCTCATTTCTTTTGGTTGAAATTTGTGATTGAGGAAGAGAAATGAACAATTGGGTTTGGAGACAGGATGGAAAGAAGGAGAGAGATTTCCTGGACCAAGACTTGTGATAGTTTCCTGCCACACATGAACGGGAATTTTACAAACATTTGCAGAAGCCTGGAGGCAAGTGGCTGACTGATTTCATCAGAATGTTCAAACTGGAGACACAAGGACAAAATCTTGAAAAAGAGGCAACAGAGACATCAACAGGTACAACAAAATCAACCACCAAAAATACTAAGGTGGGAAAGGAAGCACCAACAATGCTCAGGTGACTAAACAGGGAGGACAGTGCCCAGCCATGAATATGGGGTTAAAGTGTGCAGCCGAGAGGGAAAGTGATAGGAACATCAACCACACAAACTCCTACTGGAATAGGACCATGACTCCATACAAAAACAAAAGAAAAAAATCTACTCCAAAATTAGTAAAATTAATAAAAGAGATTACAAAGTCTTGATAGTGCCTTTGAGGAGACATTTGACATCCAGGGATCAAAACCAGTGAATCTGAAAAAAAAAAAAAAAAGAGAGAGAGAGAGAGAATGCAAAGAAGGAGGAGAGAGTTTAGGAGATCACCTCTGTCAGTGGCAGAGGTGAGAAGGGCCAAGGTTTAAGAGTATCTGCTCAAGGGTGGGGTGGGGCGGACATCCTCCACACAGGCATCTCTGTCAAGCCTCATATCAGCCTAGAGATGTGTGCAGATTATTCCTTCTTGATAGGTGAAGTCACAGGGCTCCTGGGCAGTCCTGTACAAAGACTCCAAAAGACCAGAGGGTTGATACCTAGGAAGAGACTGAGAGATCATCTAGTGATGCCATTACCAGATGGGGAGGCCAAAGCCCAAGGAGGACAACAGAAGGGCCATAGATGCACAGGCAGTGGACTTTTTTGTCACCTAGACAGACAATGGGGCTGCAGTTTTGTATTACCCAAGGCAAAAGTGGCATCTAAATAGAGACATAGAGGCCATTTGCTTACATTAGAGACATAGAGGCCAATTGCTTACATAAGCGATTCAGAGGACAATTGCTTATTCAGTGCTATTAGATACGGAAAATGACAAACCCCACAATAGTGAGGCCTGGGAAAAGGGACTGAAAAGGAAAGCCATACATTGACAGCATTGATCATCCTTTCCCAGTGACAAGACCAGCCCTGGGTAGGAAATTATCCATCCAAGCCTAGACTGACAGTCTCTAGGAAGAACCAATGTATTAAACCTTCCCAAAATGAGTCCTTTCTCAGTGACAGTACAATGAGACCCCAGAGGTGAATATTGACCACTGTCCCTAGACCTTTCATCTGACCCACTGACTGCTAACCCAGACCCTCCATTAGACACACTCTGGCAATAATTAAATCACCTCTCAGGATGACCTAGGTAAGCCCAGTCCCTTTCTTTCTTTGGGGCTTGTTTTCCACTAGGAAAGTGGGTCCCATGGTGTCATTTTGTCCCTGTATCCCCTGTTCCCGTGTGAACCTTCATTCTTGAATAAAAGATCTGAGCTGATTTGTGAAGTTTGCGTTCATCCTGGTCAATTTTGTGCTAACAAGTGCACATAGCAGGTGGATGGCAAAGCCTGTGCTAGGGTCCTCATCTTCCTGACCCTGAGTGTGTATAGAAATTATGTGTGGGGGCCGGGAGAGCTCAGTTGTCCTCAACTGGTACTTGGGGTAATCTTAAGCTTCCTTAATCTTTGTATGAGTGAAGAGCCAAGTACAGGTTCCCAGGGGCTTCATTTCCTAAGTCAGAGAACAGGCAGGAACCTAGGCTAATGTGCCAGGGGCAGTTGAGGTTTATAGGGTAATTTTAGGGTGACTTAATGTGCTGTGTCTATGACTGAGTAGTGCTAACAGACTTGTTAGGCTTCCCAAACCATTCAACAGGGAAGTTTTCAATAAACCAATGCAAAGTCTTACATAGAAATATTCTGCATCTGAAGTTAATTGATGACAGCACGTTGTGTAACTGTCCTTTGTTCAGCTCATTGTTTCAAGGTGTACCTGCTCTTACTGATATTCACCTTTCGGTTGCGCTCTCTCTCTCTCTCTCTCTCTCTCTCTCTCTCTCTCTCTATATATATATATATATATATATATATATATATATATATATATATTTCTATATATCTATGTATGTATATATACATATATAATTATATATATACTTATTTATTTTTTAGTTGTAGTATATACTTATTTATTTTTTAGTTGTAGTTGGACTCAATACCTTTATTTTTTTATTTATTTTTATGTGGTGCTGAGGACTGAACCCAGGGCCTTGCACATGCTAGGCAAGGGCTCTACTGCGGAGCCACTTTCTGTTGCTTTTATAGCCCTTATAGAAATTTCATTGCTGCCTGAAGCTCCAATACCTCTGCCCCAGGGCAACTCTTAGTAAAAGATAGAAAACAAGACATTCATAGCAAGATCCTATTTCCTAACTCCTTCCAGAAAATGTGAGAGACTAGGAAATATTGGGATTTGCTATTCATGGTGTAATTACAAAAAACAGTATATCCTTATACAATTCTGACATCATAATTCCATGTTCATGGAATTAGAGAGCCAGAGCTCATGTGGCCCATGATATGAAATAAACCTTTTTGAGATTATATTGAGAAATCTAATTGTTTTCTTCCAACAAAGATTTTAATTGTAAGCATATAATAAAATTCATTTTACTTCAAATTGTGACACTTACTGAGAAAAGAGACCCAATCTTACAGAACTGATCATTTTGATGAATTAATTTGATTTCCCTAAAAATTAAAAAAAAAAAACAGTTCTACTTTTTCCCACTTCTAAAATATTTCTAGTCTTAATGTAAACATTTCAAATATTTGCAACTTTATAATACAAAAACAGGCAGTTTCTTGTGTAACAGTACTTCTGACATGTATTTTAGAGGAACTGTTCATTTTAAAATACCAAAGACATAAAACCTAAAATCCAGGAATCTGGTATCTTCTCAAATGTCATTCCCCCTTTAGATTGCCTTCCACATCTGAACTGGTGTTCAGAATTTTTCAAAACGTTCTGCCCTAATTGTGGTCTAATATGAAAGTCTGGGATTTCCCTTTTGTTAACTTATCACCATCTATGCTAGCTGGCGACCTATGCTGGGTTTCCAAATCTGACTATTCCAATAACTTAAGAAAACAGTGAAGAAAGCATGCAAACACACAGAAGTAGCTTCTCAAAATCTGGGAGACCTCTCTGACCATAGGGGTCCATGGAAAAAGAGAGAGAGCCTCTGGAATTCTTTATTCTCTATATAGGGGACACACAAGGGGAGGTTCCATGGAACATGCAATCGAGGCATCTTCTGTTAGTCAGTGCCAGAAAGTCCCTTCTTAGAATGTGGACTTAAATTTGAGATCATAAATGTTCTTTAAAAATAGATACTGACTTATAAAAATTATTCATGCATTTGTGTACATAAAAACAGTAGACTAGAAAATACAATGAAAGGTGATTTATAGTCTCAAGTAATATCCAATCTGAGAGTAAAAGGAAAACACATAAACCAACTTAAAAGAGAAAACAAATATTCTATCCCTAAAAGGGCAAAGGGGTAGAATTACAAAGGAACAGGTGAGTGTAACTGAATCCCACTGGGTGACACCTACTCCTGGAGCCACAACTCATTATCCTAATAGAGGTAAAGCCCAAGTTATGGTGGGACACAATAATTGCTTGGTATCTCTTGCTCAAGACTTAAGGGCATGTATTTCCAGAGCAGCTCCTGACATTAACTAGGAATTAGTTTAGCTGCAGTTTCAAAAAATTTGTTTCTGATAGTAACCTCAGGCATTCTTGAAAATTCAGCATTGTCTATCCTTGTTAGTAACAAAAGAGAGAAATGTGCCTTACATCTGTGAAGAGTGAAGACTGTCTTCGGGCCCCTTGGATGCCAAGCTGTCACTCAGGATGAGCAGTCCAGTATGCAAGGCTTCCACCACTTTCCATGGCTCATCCCCTTCTTCGAGCTGGTCCCTGAGGGCCCCCAGACTATGGCCAGCACCTGTGAGTATCTTCTGAAGCAGGCCACCCTGTTGCCACTGGTGAAACACCTACAAACTCAGAAACAAAAATATGATTATTAATAATAGCATTACAAATAACATATTTAGTGAAAAATATTAACAGACCATTATAAATGATAGCTAACATTTTATTTTCTTGAAAACTTAAAGTGTCTATTTATAACTGAATTTTGACTTCATATCCACTCAGAAATTAAAGTTGATGAATTGTAATAATTGATACTGCTAGCACCTTAGTTTTTTCTCTCCCCCACAAAAGAGAAACAAAAGAGAGAAAGAAGAAAAGGGCAACAGCATACATTGTTTTAAATTAAATATTATTTGAATATGAAACTAAGCTGTTTAGGATAATTTAAATATGCTTTAAGTATTTTAAAATATATGTCATCATTGATACACAGTCATTAAATACCACTTTATGACACGGAGCTGGTAGTTATGATACTAAAGAAAGGACCAAAGCCAGCCTCAGCAACTTAGGAAGGTCTTAAGCAACTCAGTGAGACCTTGTTTCTAAATAAAAATATAAAAAGAGCTGGGGATGTTGGTCAGTGATTAAGTACCCCTAGGTATACACAGTGGCCAGGATGTGGGGGTCCCTAGTACCCCCCCCAAAAAAAAGACCATCAATATTATAGTTTATCATCCATCAGAATAAAGCAAAATAGATCTTCCATACTCAAATGAGTATGGGACCTGCATGATGCAAAGGTATGTGAGCCTGAATTAACCATGTATTCAAGTAACTCAGATAATGCACAAAGCAAAAGTGCACATTGATGTTGGTCACCTCAATGCCATCCCTTGATAATTTTAGTGCTTGATAAAGTTAGTGCCAGCAAGTGGACAATCACACTTATATTTTTGAAGGATGCTGTATGACTATTTGAATATTCAACCTATATCATCTGAGCATATTAAGGGAGATGAAAGTTTTAATGGGCTGTGTTCTTGAAGGAAAAAACACAAAATGGGAAAGTAACACCTGAGATTGGGAGGTGATGGGTGTGGTGGGGAGGGATTCTACTTCAGTCTCCAAAACTGCCCAAGAAACACAAAGCTATGAGTTGACCAGGGCCTCTGCAGGCTTCCAAGGCCATCTGACAGGTATAATGACTAAAGGTGTGCTACTTTATATCAGCATTTCTGAAAACAGATCAAAGCCTCCATTCCCCTTGTTTGGCTTTAAGTCCAACTTTTTTTTTTTTTGGTACCAAGAATTGAACATGGGGGCACTTGACCACTGAATCACATCCCCAGTCCTATGACTATTTTGTATTTTATTTAGAGACAAGGTCTCACTGAGTTGCTTAGCACCTCACCATTGCTGAGGCTGGCTTTGAACTTAGGATCCTCCTGCCTCAGTCTTCCAAGCCACTGGGATTACAGGTGTGCGCCACTGCACCTGACCCCAGTCACCATTTTTATACAATACTTCTGAGCAAAACCAGACAAGAAGGCACAAAGCAAGTGAAATGTGTGTACACAAATATCCAAGGACCTGATCAAAGCAGCCTGTGGTCAGGGATCTCACATCCCAACAGCAGTATGGATGTAGGAACCTCTTAGTTGCCAGGTGTGTGTTTAAAACACAGATGAACTTTTGGCAACTTGTGTTGAAGGCCTTTTGACCTGAGGCTGGTGGACACCCATGAAAGAAGGTATACACAGTGGCCAGGATGTGGGGGTCCTAAGGCCTTTCCCCAGAAAGGATATGAAATCAAAAGGTGAAGAACATGATGTTGAAAGGAATGAGTGTGGATACTGCAAACCAGTAGCTCCAAGTCACAGTGTCCAGATGCAGGACTGTACCTGTCCATACAGTCGCAGCCAGCTGACCGAGTGGATGAGATAGTTCTTGGCTTCTGACCACTTGGGAGGACAGTCTCCACCACGGCCTTCTCTCTCTGCTTCGTCCTTGGATATGCTGGACAAGACTGAACACACCATCCTCTCTAAGGAGCTGTCTGTGGGAATCTGGCAACAATATGAAAGAAATGCTTAAAAGTAAAACCTTTGTTTTTTCCTAGAACATTTCTTTTCTAAAAATAATACCGCAATCTTTTCAAAGTGAAGCTCTTACATTTGCCTAATTAAAGAAGTAACTAGGTGACAAAGTGTTGCTTATAGTGTCTGTGTGATTTATCCTGAGGGTACACTTTTGTAGTTAAGGAAGAAAACTGATCCTATTTTTCCGAACTGGCCATAAGCAACAGAAACAGCTGTTTATTCCAGCAGAAGACATGAAGATGACATAAATATGGTTCATCTTCACTCTCCCACCAAAGCAAACAGAGGCCAGCCTAGTTTAATTGATACTTTGCATTAACGAAGTTGCTTTTCTGAGAAAAATTTCTTTTCTAATTATCAAAACCTACCTAATTGGGAAGATTCAAATTGAGGTCCTGGTTTAGAAACCGTTTAACGTTTTGCATCAAATATTTATTTTATACACAAACTTCTCTAAAACTGCTCTCTAAATACTTAAGTCTGTCATAGAATGAGTTACATTCCCCTATAGTGGTGCTCTATTTCAGGAATTTTATTGATTATTGCTATTAACTAAACATTTGTGCCCCCCCCCCAAATTCATATACTGAAATCCTAACTCTCAGGGTGATGAACTGAGGAGGTGGGACCTTCAGAAAGTGCTTACATCACAAGGGTGCAGCCTTTGTAATGGGATCAGTGCCCATACAAAAGACCAACAAGGGAACTCCTGCATTCCTTGCACTATGTGAAGATGCAGTGAGAGGATGCTGTCTACGAGCTAGAAAGTAAGCCTTCCCTGACATCAGGGGCACTGGATACTTGACCATGGACTTCCGGCCTCCAGAACTATGAGAAATAAATTCCTTTTGTATAAGCCACTCAGGCTACGGGAATTTGTTTTAACCATACAAACAGAATGACACAATGGCAACAATCAGAAAGCATTAAAGTCCTATTTTTTCGTCTTATATGTCTCCTTTAAAACCCAGATTTTAAAAAGAAAATGTTCACTCATGATTATAAAAGCCACAAGATGTCTCATGTTTTCTGCTTTTTCTTCCCTTTGATTGAAAATAAGGTAAGTGTGGTGGCACAATCTACAATCCCAGCTATGTGGGAGGCTGAGGCAGAAGGATGGCAAGATTGAGGCCAGTCGTGACAAGTTAGTGAGACTCTTTCTCAAAATAAAATTGAAAAATGGGCTGGGGATATAACTCAGTGGTAGAGCACTTGTCTAGCATGTGAAAGGCCCTGGGTTCAATCCCCAGTACCACTAAAAAAAAAAAGAAAAAAGAAAACAAGTACTGTGGCACCACATACCATGTGGCACCACATATCATGTTAGAAAAATAAGACCCATCCCTGCCCAGATGCTCTGGGTCTCTGAGAGCAGATGAGAGGAATGATTTCTAGATGAAATCTGAATGATTTCTAGATGAAAATGTTGTGTAAATTGTTGCTACATCGTATTATTTAGGGAATAACAACAAGGGGGAAGAAAAGCCTGCACATGTTCAGTACAGACACAATTTGTTTTTCTAACATTTGCAATATGATGGTTGAATGCATGGTGCAGACCCATGGATACAGAGGGCTGTCCGTATTCTAGACACACTCCCAAGGAGAGACCCAGCAGTGTGACAAGCAGTCAAATGCACATACCTCCTCTAGCTCAGCTGAATAATTCAGGATTTGTTCCATTTGAAGATCATCAAAACCAAACTTGGATTTGAGATCAGACTGGACTTTCTGTGGATCCCACACCATATTCTGCAGGGACAGTTGATAAACTGACTCTATAAAACAATCAACAAGTTATACTGTCGGTAATTTTAATATTTTGATGTGTCTAAAGTAATTCAGAAAATAATGTCATTTTATGAAGACAGAATACCATTTGGGGATCAAACAGGAACAATGCACAAAAGCTAAAAGAGTCGTTCTCCTTATACAAAGGAGATAGGTTCCAAGATTCCCAGTGGATACCTAAACCATACATAATAATGAATCCTGAATATACTGTTTTTTTCATACTCATACATAATAAAGTTTAATTTATAAATCAGACACAGTAAGAGATTATAAATAATAAAAAAGTAGAACAATAACAACATGCTATAATAAAATTGCCAGCATCACCACTCTTTGCTTTGAGGCCATTATTAACTATGATAAGGGCTACTTGAACTCAAGCACTGTGATACCATAACAGTCAGTCTGCTAACTAAGACCGCTAAACTAAACAACTGATGGTTAGGCAATATATACAATGTGGATACACTGGAAAAAGTAACAATTCACATCCAGAAAAAAACGAAGTGGAATGGTATGAGATTTCATCTCATTACTCAGAATGTTATATAATTTAAAACTTACAAATTATTTATTGCTAGAACCTTCTATTTAACATTTTTTGGACTGAAGTTGATCATGGATAACTGAAAGTACAGAAAATGAAATCATAGATATGGGAAGACTATTGTACTTGATGCTATAGAGAGTACGGTGAGATTTCACACACTCTGACATAAATGGTTACAAAATTTCTGAAGTAATTTGAAAACATATTTCAAAACCTTGATAAAATTCAATCATTCAACCCAACAATTGCACTTCTAAAATACTATCTCAAGAAATCTAATCAGATGACTGAACAAAAATTAATGTTCAACAGCATTATTGTGTGGGTTTCTGGCTAATTAAATATTAAAAATCAGTTAAGCATCTAGCATCAGGGAAAAGAATAATTTACAGTACACTTCTAACATAAAACACAATGGAAATCTTAAAACTATATTTCTAACAGTTATTTAAATTCATGGGATTAAGTTCCTCTAACTAAGGTAACCAAGGTATAAAACACAAAAGCTACTCAACCCAGCAACACCTAAAATCTAAGTCCAAAACTTCCAAGGTTTGATGAGATCTCAAAGGAACATATCCCAGCAATTACAAACACAAAATTTGTTTGGTGAAGGACAGAGATGCATCAATAAAGGAAAACAATGACCGAAGAGTAGAAGTATGGTATCTTTTTCAGGTAAAGCTTCAAGGAGGAGATTTGAAGGATGAGTTAGAGTCCATCAATGAGACCAGGGAGCATTTCGAGGCAAAGAGAGCAGTGTGTGATGTGCAGTTCCCTGCCAAGAGTGCTCAACATTAGGCACTTCTGGGGTACAGTGGACAGCAACAGAAGGTGGTCCTGAAAGAGAGCTCAGGCCAGATTTTAAAAATGGCCAAAAGAATGAGATCTGAGTTATAAAAAGATACTCCTGGGGCAAGTGTATCTTTCAGATGAACCTTACATATGACCTACACACATCCTCCTGCATTCTTTCAGATGAACCTTCATCTGAAAACCTAGTAACTAGGTCATTTCGGATCATGATTCCACATCCTTCCACTGATCACTCCATGTGACAGCCATGGTAAAACCATGTTCACATGTATGATCAGACATGGTCATGACATTTAAAAAAGGAGTGGTGGAGTTAAAGTTAAAGGGGACTTCAGGGAGGTTTTGAAAACAGGGTGGATCCCAGGAATCCAAGACTCCTGGCTTTCAATCTGATTGTCTTCCCATGACATCATCCGGGTGGAAAAAAAGATTGGTTTCTGAGATTAAAACTAGCATCCATTGCATGTTGAAGAGATGCCAAGCCCTAGGCTAAGCATTTCCCATGCCAGATCTGAGTTGCCAACCAATAGCACGAACATGGATACTTCCTCCAAGAGGGAAGGAAGCAGACAGTCACTTAAGTCACACCTTTAAATTAAGCCAGAATTCACACCCAAGCTGGTTCCCAAGCTAAAATTGTAATTATTATCTCTACTGCTCTCAGAGTATATTAGAATTGTTCATGGGGTTCCAAAAAGGAGAGAAAAGAATTGTGGCATCAGACTCTGATTAGCTATAAAAACAAACTTCCTAACAAAGTGAAAGACAATCTTGATTCCAAATTGTGTGGCTAAACAGCAGGGTGCTCAAAATACGTGAATTAAAATTTTCAATGAATGACATGTTTGTGAATTAAAAGTTTCAATGAATGACGTGTTTTGACCAGGAGCCCAAAGCTACTGTCATGACCCATCCTTATTCCTTCACACATCATAATCTGTTCATCAGACAGAAAGGATTTTGGGGGGCAGACAAGAAAAATGAAAACCATTTTTAGTGGCTTCTAGAAGTATGCCTTTGCAATAGTAATTTCTTAGCTTTGACTCACTGGCAAATGGATAGAAAATTGCTTATTTTAATTACATTCTTAGCAGTGATTACATTTCCAATTGTAGGGTAAATTGATTGTTATAATTTGAAGGATGTACAAAAACCTGAGCCTCCAAATGAGTTTGTTAAAATTGAGGTCACTGAGATTTCAATGAGGTGTTTTACACGTTTCCCACCCCAGCTCTGGGTGCTGTTCTGAACATAAGAAATAGTACTTCCTGCTGCAACTAAATTAAAGTTGAAATCCAGTTAATTGATAATATCATAGTTTCCCTTCTACAGAGCACTGAAAGAAACCCTTCTACTCTATGGGGGACTCGCTGTGCTGGGTCACAAGAGCAGGTGAAATCTGAAGTTATGGAAGGGATCGTGTTTCATTATTCCATGCAGCAGGAGAAATCTGGCTGGGTCTGTAGACATGTCTGGGTAATCATCACATCATGCAGCTCAGGAGACAGGGCTTTTGAAAGAAAGAGGCCAGTAGAAAACTTGATCCCGGGCACCTGATCCCCACACCCTGCAACATGGCTTGCCTGCCTTTAATCAACCCCTCACACCTGCCCCAGGAGTATCTTTCTATAACTCAGACCTCATTCTTTTGGCCATTTTTAAAATCTGGCCTGGGCTCTCTTTCAGGACCATCTTTGGTTGCTGCCCACTGTACCCCAGAAATGTCTTGACAGGAACACTCTTGACAGGGCCCTGCACATCATGCACTACTCTCTTTGCCTAGAAATGCTCCCTGGTCTCATTGATGGACTCTAACTCATCCTTCACATCTCCTCCTTGAAGCTTTACCTGAAAAAGTTACCAGACTTCTACTCTGTGGTCATTATTTTTCCTTTATTGATGCATCTCTCTTCTTCACCAAACATGACTTCCCCAGAGCAAGAACTATTTTCTTTTACAGCTTTTTATTCCCACTCTTTGAGGTAGTGTTTGATCCATAGAAAGTCTTTGGTAAGTGTCTACTGAATAAGAGAATTAATAAATAAGTGAAGGGATAGATGAATGACAGACAGATAGATGAACAGACAATGGATTGATGGACAGATGTGTTGGTGAACTGGTGAGTAAATTGGTGGGTGGGAGTGAGAGGACTGATGCATAGGTGAGCAGATGACAGATGGGTGAGTGATTGGATGGATGTGTGGGAAGAGGGAGATACCAATAAACAAATGGATGGGTGGATGATACCCAACTTCATTGTTTTCTCATTGCATTTATTTTCCCTAGAAAAAGATGCAAAGAGAATAGCAGTTAACAATTTGAAAAATAATGTCCTAGGTCAAGAGAAAAGTTAGTCATGTATAATTCAGTAGTTATACCTGCTGGCATGTGCAAAGCCCTTGGTTTCATCCACAGAACTTCAAAACAAAGAAAGGGCGGGGGTAGGGGGGAGAAAGGGAGGGAGGAAGGAAGGAGCTAGACAATTCCATTCCCTTCCCTGTGGAAGCTCTGTTTATTCAATTAGTGGACTTTTTAAGTCCACATCAACTGGTTTTTCTTACTAGGGTTACTGTTTTCCAAATGTTTATTCCCAATAGGATTTTAGAAAGAGGAACGGTTGAAATCCCAGAACCAGTGATTGGTATAATCTTCCAAGATATTAGGTCAAAGAATTTCAAATTGAATTATTTTTAATTATAAATATTTTCATTAGAAATGACTACAGAATTTCAGCAGAAGTTAAAAGTCAAATCAGTTTTGAGTTCCAAGTTTTCATTCTACTTCTATCTTTTATTAAAGCAAACGATTCTTTTCTTCATTTAATTGAAACATTTAATTAAATTAAAACTTGTAATTAAAACATTTCTCCAAACAGCATTTTAACTCTATGTTGATTGTCAATCAGTAATGAGACATTTTAAAAGACAGCAATAGCCCTAAGGTGCCCATACCAGTGAATGATACTCCATTTTGCTGCAGAAATGTCAGCGTCGAGATGGTCACATTCAGTACAAGTTCAGAAACCTGAGAGAAAGTCTGGTTGAGTGGTAGCCAGTCTAAATCTTCCAGAGATGTTAAGGAACTAGAACCAGAACAAAGCCATAGCAGTCTGAGCCATTGGTGAGTCAAACAAGCAGAATCCATCCCAGATTTACTTACATTCTACCAACTGGGCCCTCACCCTGTTGTACCATGTGTCTGGACTATTTATATGTCAGCATTCCTCAAAGCTTTAACATGATCCTAATTCCTCAGGCTAAAGACTTAGCCTAAGAGGTAAATCCATCTCCTGAATACTTAAGAATTTGGGCCTTTGATAGACCTTGGGTTTCAGGTGGCTCTCCCATGGGTGCTGTCTTACATTTAGCCTTGGGTCTTCCTGCCCGACTAGGACAGCTGACCAAGCCACACAGGGCACTAGTGCTATTATCTCAGAGGAGCAAATGAAGATTCATCCAGGCTGCTTCAGGTTCAGATCATCAGTCTAACACTTAGAAAGCAGCTGAATTGGAAGGTCACATACCCCAACCTTCCACTCTGCTTTAGCCAATGGATCTGAGAGTGTCCAGTCAATCAGTGGGTTTCAAACTATTTCGCAGAATGAGGAGCTTTGGGGAGAGAGGGAGTTCATGTGTATATGGGGTTCAATTTTTTTGAGATATCAATATTTTATTTTATAAATAATGAAATCTGTAGGTCAGAAAATACACTCAACTGAAGTAGGGGTGCATTTACATTTTAACAACTCAAGACCAACACAACCATTCATTGTGGTTCTAAACAGGTAAATTTCCTGTAGTTTCTCATTAAGGAGACTCTCTCATGGCCTCCTTGTGTGTTGAAGAGAATCCCAAGGCTACAAAATACATGACTGAAAACCGGTACTCTTTCTATGAATGAAGTATGAATGCAGACATTCTTGATTTTGTGCCACCGAAGTATAGAAATTAAATTTATGTTGAAGCTGATATGGTTCAACAACTGCCATTAATATCTTCTAATTTCAACCTTTTTCCTCTCTCAAAACAACCTGGCGGTTTTCATCATCCACTGATAATATATTCAAGGCTAGCGAGAATAAAAAGGTAGGGATACCAACTATGTTAAAATATTTAAGCTAACAAACTGTCAAAATAAATGTGTTTCCTTTTCCTACAATGACAAATATGTCTTCATAAAAAACCTAAAAAGTCATGTTCAAATTTACAATTTTCTGATTCTGAGAGTTGTGCTCCAGAATGTGGGGTTTAGGGAACACCTACCCTGGGCCCTCAACTCATTCTGTACCTTAAGGGACCTCAGTGCAGGACTGTGGATATTATATCCTGCAGAGCCAAGACCCACCCCACACCCCACCCCCAGCCCCCGACACTCCTGCCAATGGCTGCAGCTGCCCTGGTTCACCCCTGAGCCTAAGGATGTAACCGCACTGGTAAAACCTGCCCTCAGAAGGAGGCACCAGGGAAGAGGCCCGCCCAGGCTCTGGTCTCTGGAGTAGAGAATTCCAGGATGAAAGGGTGTTGGAGGAGTGAGCTTTTTGGACACAGTCCCCAAACCACAGGGTCCAAGACAGGGCTCCCCTTGCACTCTGATCTAAGGCAATGTGAGTTGTTCCCACCAACTGCAAATGGAAGAGCTAAAAGTTAAAACTTGAAAAAAAAAAGAACATGAACTTTTACTAATAAAACGCCATGTTCATACAATTTGGCAAAATAATTTAATTTTAAAAACCACACTGATTAAAAACTGGGAAACCAACTCTAGGAAGAGGTTTTCCCAAAGGCACCCCTGTGGATAACATGGGTCAGGTCCATTGCAGAAGACCAGTGCCCAACTCACTGGATTCTAAAGAGAAGGAACTGAATTTATCAGATTTTCAGGATATTATTGACAACTATAGTATAATTTATTAGTCAAAATTACTATGTTTATGTTGCTTGTCTAATGGTAAAAATGTGGAAAACAACCTAAAGTCTAATGCTAACATTATTATTTATGGTATAGAATACCTCAGCAAATAGAATATTATGCAGTCATTAAAAATATTTATTTTAGGACCAAAGGACCCCATGGAAATGTTCCTAAGGTAATATGAAGCTTTCTAAATTGGGGAGCATGTGAACAACATCACTGCAGTAATGCAAGCTATGTTTATAGACAGAAGGGGACAGAAGTAGAGGTGTAGGGGGGCTCTAGGTGTTTCAGAGCACCATTACCATGAGCATTTTTCTTTTTCAAACAGTTTCTCAATGATTGTATATTTATTTATCCATTAAAAATGAGGGAGATACTCTCTACTGTTGCGCATATCTAAAAAGAGTAATTAAAAATTTAAAATAAAATTACTTAAAGTTAAAAAAAATCAGGAGGAAAAACCAACACCTATACTTTTATATTTTCTTTTTTACTTACTTCAAAACTACCTGGAGAAAGTGGACCATGACAGGCAGGATGTCTTCCACATGAACATGGTTTTCACGTAGTCTTGGCAATGAAAGTAAAAAATCCCAGAGATAAGGCTGCTGGTGGAGGCTTTCCAATTTTGAAATTACCTCCTCTGTTTTATTGAGGTCCATCTGATAGGAAGAAACAACGGAAATTTTCCTTTTTAGTTTTATTTATCAGCTAAACAAGAGAGAAAGTGCAAGAAATGTAGGTAGGACATCTGTAGGAAGAGACTCCTACAGGCTTAATATGTCACTCTGTTGAACAGAATTTGTTTTTGTTTTTTATTTGTTCTTTTTAGATATACATGACAGTAGAATGTATTTTGACATATTATACATACATGGAGCATAACTTCCCATTCTTGTGGATATACATGATGAGAAATTACACTGTTGTAAATTCATATATGATCATAGAAAAGTTATGCATGATTCATTCCACTTTTTCCCTATTGCCATCCCCCCTCCTTTCCTTCCAAACCCATTGTCTAATCTAATGAACTTCTATTCCCCTCCTCCCAAATTGTTCATTAGCATCTGCATATCAGAGAGAACATTTGGCCTTTGGTTTTTTGGGTTTGGCTTATTTCACTTAGCATGATAGTCTCCAGTTCCATCCATTTACCAACAAATGCCATAATTTCATTTCTTCTCCATGGTTGAGTAATATATTCCATTGTGTATATGTACCACATTTTCTTCATCCGTTTATCTGTTGAAGGACACTTAGGTTGGTTTCATTGTTTGGCTATTGTAAATTGAGCTGCTATAAACATTAATGTGGCTGTGTCACTATAATATGCTGATTTTAAGTCATTTGGGTATAAACCAAGGAGTGGAATAACTGGGTCAAATGGTTGTTCCATTCCAAGTTTTCTGAAGAATCTCCATACTGCTTTCCAGAGTGGTTGTACCTATTTGCAGTCCCATCAGCAATGTATGAGTGCACGTTTCCCCTACAACCTCCCAACATTTATTGTTACTTATCCTGTTGATAATTATCATTCTGACTTGAGTGAGATGAAATCTCAGTGTAGTTTTCATTTGCATTTCTCTAATTGCTAATGATGTGCAACATTTTTTCATATATTTGTTGATTTATCTATTGTATTTTATCTTCTGTGAAGTGTCTATTCACTTCTTTTGCCCATTTATCAATAGGGTTATTGTCTTTTGGTGTTAAGTTTTTTGAGTTCTTTATATATCCTGGAGATTAAGGCTCTATCTGAGGTGCAGCTGGTAAAGATTTTTCTCCCATTCTGTAGGTTCTCTCTTTGTGTTCTTGATTGTTTCCTTTGCTATGAAGAAGCCTTTAGTTTGATACCATCCCATTTATTCCTTCTTGATTTTACTTGTGCTTTAGGTGTCTTGTTGAGGAATTCAGTTCCTAAGCCGACATGATGGAGAGTAGGGCCTACTTTTTCTTCCATAGGCTCAGGGTCTCTGGTCTAATACCTATGTCCTTGATGCACTTTGAGATGAGTTTGGGGAAGGTGAGAGGGGTTTAATTACATTTTGCTACATATGGATTTCCAGTTCTCCCAGCACCGTTGTTGAAGAGGCTACCTTTTCTCCCACGTATGTTCATGGCGCCTTTGTCTGGTGTGGGATGACTGTATTCATGTGGGTTTGTCTTGGACAGATGTTAGTCATTCTGGTTGGGTGTTTTTAAATATGGACACACAAGTTTGAAATCCACTCAAAAATATAAAATCAGAAAAGTCTACAATTTAAAATAACTGCAGACTCTCAAAAGGGAAAAAAAGGAGACAATGAATCAGGGAAGGATGAAAAGGAGAAAGCAAAGGAAGAAGAGAAGGATGGATGGACGGAAGGAGGAAGAAGAAAAACAGCAATGAAGGGAAGAGGGAGGTGGACCAGGTGGCAGGTGGGGGGAACAGAAGGGCTCCGATCCCAGGTGACCTGAGTCGGGGACGTCTGGAGGTGGGTCACTCTGGAGTGTCTGCTCCCCTGCCCCAACCTTGCTTCAGAGGACTAGATGCAGAAAGCCAACACTCAGCATGTGCTTGTCAAGGGACGCTGAGAGCAATAATCAGGGCCTCCAAGAACTGTCCACTTTAGCTGAGGATAAATGAGGCCCTTGGTGGGTTGTGAAAGGGCACCCCCCAGCTTTCACCCAGGCCTCTCTGCCCCCTGCTGCACGCTGCCTTGAGTAGCCCATACCCATGTCCCCTCCCCAACCCTCCCAACAACTCCAGTCATGTTTTCCTTCTGGTCACTTCACCAGAGCCTTTCTTGTCAGCGTCACCAACAGTCTCCATGCTGCTACTTCCAGGGGTCACTTCTCCATCCGCTTCCTACGTGATCAACAGCAGAGTTGAGGCCGATCATTTCCACCTCCCTGAAAAGGGTTTCCCTGGCTTCCAGGACATCCACCTCATCTTCCCCTGCTGGGCTGAAACCCCATCTCAGATGCAAGTGCTCAGAGCTCCGTCCTCTTCCTCTTCTCCCTCTGTACCTTCTGCCTCCTCAGCATTTAAAAGTCACCTTTGCACCAACATCTTCCAGATTCATGTATCCAACCAGACTCTTCACCTCTGCTCCAAACTGGTGTATCACATCACCCACAGCCTCCTTGACAGTGTCACTTGGGTGTCTCATTAACTTGCCCAAATTAAGTCTCCTGATTTCCCCATCTCCTTCTTCTCCCCACCCCACCACCAGGAAAAACGGTTCCAATCTTTCCCATTTCAATCAATGGCCACTACATATTTCCAATAAGAGTCACTCTTGACTCTTCTGTGATAACTTATATTCATCAGAGGAGTCTATTGGTTCAACCTTCAAATTGTATCAAGAATCCCACCACATGCCACCCCCTCTGTCAGTAACCACATGACTGTGCTAGGCCTCCATCACCTACTCTAGCCATGAGTGCATCGATTTCCTAACTGGCCTCCTGATTACACTGTGATCACCATCCTTCTATGCTCAATTGAATGTCCAAAAAGATTCCTGGAAACATAATTTATGTATCATCATTCCTCTGCTCAGAATATTTGAATGACCATTTCACTCCAAATGAAACTATATATCACAATTAGAAACTAAATATCATAACCAGAATTCTGCAACAGAAAAGTTACCTAGAATTGTCTCCCTTTAACAAACAGAACTGCTTTCCTGTGGCCACTCTTCCTCAGCTCGTTGTAGACAGGGCCTGAGAGTCTGCACATCACAATTGTGCTACAACTATGATGCCGTTCTCTGCTTTTCACACCTGACATGACAGAATTGTTACCCAGGCACCATATTAATTATTAAGTGACTCTGCTAAGGAGGCTATCAACATTTACTTACCCTACTTAGGGATATTAAAAGTATCCGTCATTAGAAATGAGACTTTATTTTTATTTCTTTTGCATTATACGACAAATTGTCAGAACAACTACTGGGACAAAGGATATCAAATAACTTTTTCAAAAATCATTGTGTCAATTTTTTTTTCACCACAAGGCATACATGATTCCTATCAATGGGCTACAATATCACAAGCACTGGATATCAAAATTCCTTTAAAATGCTAATTTAATAATTGAAATGGTGCTTTATTCTATTTTTAAGTTACTTGTAAGTCACCCCCATTGAAAACTTGTGTTGTAAGTGAAGGCCCTGGTGCTTAGAGTCAAAGGTTGCATGGCAGGCACATAAACCATGGCCTAAGTTTGACTTTGGATTGTCTCTGATCCATCTTACTAAGCAATTCTGTGGACCTGCATCACCTGCTGGCCTCAACTCAGCAACTGCTTCTCACTGACCTTATTTTAGAAAATTAAATTAAAATTAAATCTCATCTTTCAATCCATTCTTGGAGTGACTTTGGCTTTCTCAAAATCCAGCTCCTACACAATAATAACTGAAAATCAAATCCTTTTTAAAAAAGTAGTGTCTAATATACAAATTAAATTTAAAAACCATTGTCAACCATACATCTTGGGACACTCAATTTTAAACTTTTTGTTAAGATACTTACTGTTAAAAAACTGGATCCATAAGAAGGACCTACAATAGAGCAAATTTTAGAGATTTCAGTTCAGTCATTAACCCAAAAAACATTTGCCAAGTTACCACTACAGTTTTCAAGTCAAAGGAAGTATCAGAGCCCTGGCTCCCAAATGGTGACACCCAGATAGAAGAATAAAGCTGAAGAAAGTCATCACTGATGATCTCCAAATCCCATAGATATTAAGTAATTTCTTGGGGGAAAATTTTTTTTAACTGGTAAACCAAATTTTGAAAATTTTTCAAAGGGTTTCTAATTCCAGCAGGCATTGCGAACATTCAAGACAGGACAAGGACCATGAAGGGAAAACAGAGGAAAAACAAAGAAAGGACAAAGATAAAAGGGAAACAAAACATGAAATTATGATTTTTCAGATGTTTTTAATTACATAGACTATGGGAAATGGCTCAAATGCTAGCTAGTTGAAAACAGACTTCATCTCAAAAATAAAAAATCAGTTCTTTCTTCAAGAACATGTGAAAAGCCTCATTTAGGAAAAAAAATCTACAGGCTAGGGGTGTAGCTCAGGGGTACAGGGCTTGCCTACCATGTGTGAGGCACTGGGTTCAATCCTCAGCACCACATAAAAAGTAAATAAAATAAAAGTATTGTGTCCTTCTACAACTAAAAATATTTTTAAAGAAACAAATTCTATAAAATCTGAATGATCTTATAACAGAGCCTATTATAAGAAACTCCATCATTCAGTGTCCGAAGTCTTTTGTGAAGCACTTTGGGTTCATCATGAAATCAGCTTTGGGAGGCCATGGCCCCCCCGTCCTATTCCACCCAGGACAAAGGTGACATTTTCTTTCTTTTTTTCTCTTTTTTTTTAAATATTTTATTTTTACCAGTGCTGAGGATCCAACCCAGTGCCTCATGCATGCTAGGCAAGTGCTCATCCTCTGAGCCACAACCCCAGCCCCCAAAGGTGACATTTTCTTAAAAATAATAATGAATGCTACATTCTCTGAAGAGCTCATTCTTCATTTTTCTGCAAAACTCTTGACTCCATTTATTTGTATATACTCCATGAAGAAGAACATATATATGCATATGTGAGTATATATATATATATATATATATATATATATATAGAGAGAGAGAGAGAGAGAGAGGACAGAGGGGTAGCTCAGTGGTACAGTGCTTGCCTCCTATGCATGAAGCCCTGGGCTTAATCTCTAGCAACACAGAAAGAAAAAATAAACAAAAAATAATTTTGAGTTGGGTACTTAAGGTTGCCAGATTTACCAAATAAAAACACATACAATATTCAATTTGAAGTACAGACTTTTTAAAATGAATGGCTGTTTAATGATATGTATATAGCATTTGGGACACAAAAATATTTTAAAAACTATCTGTTCGTCAAAATTAAATTTTGATTCTCTGTCCTATATGGTGTCTGGCAGACATGGATTCGGTAGGATTAAAGTGGGGGTCGTCGGGCGGGCAGAGTTGATCACTGCGCAACCCCCTTCAATAAAGCTTGCAGCCCCTGATGACTAGGGCGTGTGAAGACAGGCCCTGGGCTGCCCTCTTAGAGGCCCACACTTCATTTGTGAGAGCCTCTAAGATCTATACCCATTCTAATTCCATCACAGGTTTATAAATAAGAGTCGAAGCCTCTTATAATGTGGATATTTTTCACAATGAAAAGATATTACTCTCATTTACAAAATAATCTACCCTAATAATTCGAAAGATTGACAATCAAAGCTAGCTAATCACCCAAGGCCAGAACTGAACTGTTAGTGATCCTGTCCACAGCGGGGAGGAAAGCAATCCGAGGGATCTGTCTGCATGTTGGGAGAGGGTGCAGACGGGTCTTAAAGATAGGATGAGGAAGCAGAAAAGGGAAGACAACAGAAGAAACATGAGAAGGGAGTGGAGAGGGGGTACCTGTGGAGCCTACGCTGATGGGAGGCTGCCCCTCCGGAGGTAAGGTAGTTTCAGCTCTGTGCAATGTGCCTCCCTCCCGCAAGGGAGAAGCATCTTCCCGACCCTCCACAACTGGCCGTGGGGCCGACGACGTTGGCCACCAAAGGGCGCACCTTTCCCCAAGACCCACAGGCAGAGCCCGCTCAGTAAGGATTTCACCCCTCTCTTCCTAAGCAGAGCCCAGGTAGGCAGTATCCGTCTCAAGAGGTTTACTTGCCTGGTGTCTTTGATCTTTCTTTCCAAAGTTTCTGTAAGTTTTTTGCTTTGTCCACCATTTCACAAATGTCCTCGACCAGGTCCTGCATTTCTTTTAAAAAGGCCAAGCCATTCACCTTCCTGTGGTCAGCTACAGTTTGTAACCTGGAAAAACTTTAAATAAAGAGAACATGTGGGGCTGGGGTTGTGGCTCTGCGGAAGAGCGCCTTTCTAGCACTGGCAAGGTCCTGGGTTCGATCCTCAGCATCACATAAAAATAAATAAATTAAATAAAGATATTGTGTCCAACTACAACTAAAAAATAAGCATTTTTTTAAGAGAGAGAGAGATGGGTAGAAGGAAACTTCCTCAACTTGATAAAGAACAGCTATAAAAAAAGAAAGAAGGAAGGAAGGAAGGAAGGAAGGAAGGAAGGAAGGAAGGAAGAAAAACTTCCAGCTGTCATCACATTTGCTGGTAAGAACCTGAAGGCTTTACCACAAAGATCAGGAGCAAGGCAAACTAGTCCCTCTCACCACTCCTTTTGACACTGTACTAAAGTCCTAGCTAAAGCAATGAGCCAAGAAAAGGAAATAAAAGGTAAACCAATTGAGGAAGAAGAAATAACACTGTCATTGTTCTCAAATGACATAATAGTCTATGTAGAAAATCCAAAAGAACTGAAAAAGAAAAAATTTAAAAACCTGGAATTAAAAAGACACTATAGCAAGGTCATAAAATGCAATGATAAAACACTAATCATGTTCCTATGTGCAAGCAATGAACAAGTGGAATTGGAAATTAGAAGAGCCCTCTGGCTGCAGGATAAGCATTTCAGGAGTACGAGGGTGGAAAATTGCCAATTAAAAAAGGTGGTTTTGAAGAAAGAGAGGAGCAGACAGTTTCAAGAACCATTTGGGATGTGGACTGAAGACCTGTCATGAATTGTTTGAATTGTATTAGATTGCCTTTTGTTTTTTTTCAATATCTGATGCTTTGACATCTTGAGGACTTCTGTCCCTGAGGGACATCCTTCCCAGGGCTACTTAATTCCTAGAGATTATACACAGCACAGTCACTTCCAAGTCTGAGCACCTCCCCCCCACCCCCACCCCGACTATAACAAGGGGACATTACAGAGAGACATTCAAGGAAGACTTGCAGGATACTGGAAGGAATAGCTAGTGAGTGGTGGCTTCTCCTCATGGTTGGGGGAAGTACACACTCTGGTTTGCAATAACACTCAGGAAGAGGAGCCAAAGAGCCCTTTTTATGTGAATCTGGGGATTCAGAGGGCAAGGGCTTCAGTGCACGGAATATTTAATAATTTTATCTGTTTTTCTATTAAAGGTGTTTACTGTCTTCTTCGTTTTTGGGCATGATTTATGTTTTAAAGAGTAACTTTTAATCATTTTGTAAGAAGTATTTCCCCCAGTGTACTTGTTTTTATTTTAATTTCGTGTAGAGCCATGTTACTCCTGAAAAATAGGAGATGTACAATGTTTTAAAATTTATTTTCAGCAGGGCGCAGTGGCACATGTCCGTAATCCCAGCAGCTTGAGAGGCTGAGGCAGGAGGAGCTCAAATTCAAAGCCAGCCTCAGCAATGGTGAGGTGCTAAGCAACTCAGTGAGACCCTGTCTCTAAATAAAATACAAAATAGAGCTGGGATGTGGCTCAGTAGCCAAGTGCCCTGAGTTCAATCCCCAGTACCAAATATATATATAAAATTTCCAAAAAAAAGTAAAGATGAGCAAATGCCGAGGTCCAGCCCCAGTGGGGGGTGAGGAGGGGGGAGGGAGTGAGGGTCCAGGGGGTCTTGAGGGAGGAATGGCATCAGCGAAAGAAGAAGAAATTATATGAAGTGCAATTCTAAGAGAATAGTTAAATATATAACAGCAAATGTTTTTGAAAGGATTTTCTTTCCCCTTTAAAAATAGGGCTCCTGGAAATGTCTTCCTGCTGTGATGTTCAGAGTGAGTGACCACCTGGAAACCTGTTAAAATCACTGACTCTAGGGTCTCCTCTCTGCAGTTGCCACTCACTGGGGCCAGCTGCTCTCCCATGAGTATATAACCCAAACCTCCCTGCAAGTCCATCATAGACCATTCACAGATTAATCTAACATCATAGGAAAATGCAGACTTTAATTCTGACTAGAAAAATGAGAACATTGCTACATTTTACTTAACTTTGCAAATGTCATGCATAGAAATAAATGTGATGTACTAGTAAACAAGGGAAAAGATTCTTATGACCTTGGAAATCAGGACTGTGCACCTGTTTGCATCTAATCTCTAGGAATTTCGTTTTAATCAGTAAAACTACTGATTTGAAATCAAGTAGCAAATCACATCACAAATTGCTGAAAACTTGTTAAAGTTACAAGTATCCAATTAAATTAGAATATCCAAAAAAGGAAAAAAAAACACATAAAATTGAGGAAAATAGTTCCTGATCATAGAACCTTCTATATATTTTCAATTTCATGTCCTTACAAATGAGAGAAGATTCAAAGTGGATTAACAGTCATCAACATAGAAATCTACCATGAAAAAATAACATTGCTTATATCACGAAGAATTAGAATAAAATCCCTTCCACAAACATTGTCATTTAATCCTCATGACCTATCATAAAGTCTGAGCAAGTTCAACAAATATGTATTGAAGAATAAAATAAACTCAGTGCCTTTTGGGACACATCCCTTTTAGAGAAGAAGACCTAAATGTGTTTGATAAAAGCAACCAGACTGTGAGCAGCAAACCAAGTCCAGGCCACAGAGATCACATCCTGCCCCAGGAGGCTGCTGTGCCCCATGGAAATCTCACCTTTCAAAGTGTGACCTTCCACTTGAATGGGTCAGAATTACAAAATCACAAGAAGAAATTACTTGCTACTTCTCTGTAGAGGCCTTGTATTAAAGGCTAAGAGTGACCTCTGAAAGCCATAACTGTTGATTCATGCTTCCATTTCTCACCCAAACATAGGCCTTTCCTGGGAAACCACCCAATTATCAGATTATAGAGATGGATGTAATTCAAGATGAGTTTCCCCTATAATAATGAGCAGACTTTATGTTCTTTTTCTTATCGTTATTTCAAAAGGACCTCAGTGTGTTCTTAAGACTGGATTACAAATTACTACCAGCATGAGAATTGTTTATAACATAAAAAAAATACTTAGAAAATCCTGGATTAAATGTTGATGAGAGAAGTTCCTGAGCACCAGAGAAATCCAGCACTGCAACAGGACCCAAGGCGGAGCTATTTCTTCCTAAGTCCAGTTCCTTACTTAGACTTCTATTAGGTAATGCTTGACTTTGCCAGGTAGGCACGAAGTTGTAAAGGAAAGAAGTGAGAATGAAGAATGCAGGAGAAGGCCACTTGGCAGAAATGACCAAACTTTCTCAGACCTCAGACTTAACATCAAGAATCACCCCTCAAAGGCCCAAGGGCCAAACGTCACACCTAGATGCATCCACATAATTCCACAAGGGACCTGAGGATGCCCACTGTGGGAAGGGCCTCGGAAATGATGATAAGGCCAGTCCCTCCATTTGTAGATTTGGAAACTGAGATCCAGTGAGAGACCCCCAGTAGTCAAATTACTGTGCAAACAATTCTACCTTTGGAAAATCATGTTTAAGATAAAATCATGATATTGTCCACCTAGCAGGGTTGGTGAAAGCATCTCTGTAAATTAGAATGTGGGCGAGTAGCACTGCAACAAGGACCTTGAGGCTGCTTCTGCTAAAGAATGTTGACTCTTCACTTGGGCCTGCAAATGTAAAAAAAATTTTCCATTTTACAGTTGTCTGTTTGGCTCTAATTCCAGGAACATTTGCTCTGATTCTCACCTTGAGTTGCAGGAACAACAGGTCTGATTGATAAACATGTTGTAATGAATCAAAACTGCCCCCAGAAAATTTTCTTATCACCTCCCAGAAGTCCCCACCTGACCAATTCTGAGATGATGACCAACAGGACCACAGTTTGGCCAAGACTGCTTAACTATGCACCCTTCTGCTGCCCTTGTGTATTTAATCTGGAAGCTCATGTCAGTACCCCCAAGACAGGGAATCCCTGTCCAGTATAGCTATGCAGGTTGGCATTCCTTTACTGCTTTTCATGATTCCTCTTTCCATTTAAGTTTTAGGGTTAAGTGACCAGATCAGATTTGATGGGACCCCCCAGAGTTGGTCCTCTGACCTATGACTCCAGTAACATCAGTAGTATAATTAATGCAGATATGAGATGCAGTCTCACATAAGAGCTACAAAGACAAATCACCTATGGAAGCAGCAGGATTTTTCTATCTTACAACTTTTACTAATTTTTACTTATTAATTTCTGAATAGAAAAGTTCTTATTGAATTAGAATTATTTCTAAGACAACCAGATCCACAGGCAGAAATAATTTTTATAAGAATTCTGCTTTGGGATATTTCTGTTCCCTCTCATCAAAGCCAGTGAGGAAATCTTTGAGTGGAACTCTTGCCAGAAGGAGGGCTTTCCAGGGAATGTGGGACCCCGACCGTGGTCATCCCCCTTTAACTCAGGGCAGGGGTTCACACAGGAAACCTTGGAGGATGAAGTTTTTTTCGAAATCTGTAATCAGCCCAGGACTAAAAGGAGAAGTGAAGTTGAGAAACGCTCATCTGAGGAAGGAAAAAAAAAAGAAAGCAAGAATTCTTCTTTGGGGCTTTCTTTAGGTCTATTAAAAATAAATAAATCATATAGATATCTCCAAACGCTAGACCAAAAACAATGGCTCTAAGTACTAAATGGTGTGTCATAGAAGAACATAAAAATGGAGTAATAGTATTAGTTCAGGGCCCTTAAAAGAGAGCCAGGAGGCCATTGCTGGTCCACATGTAAATCAACTTTCTTAGAATTGGGCTGTAGACATACCCACAGATGAGCAGAGGTGAACTTTTTTGTTTGTTGTTTGTTGTTTTTGTAGTACTGACTATACCCCCAGCCCTTACTATTTTTTATTTTGAAACAGGGTTTCCATAAGTTGCCCATCTTTGCCTCAAACTTGTAATCCTCCCTCCTCAGCCTCCTGAGTAGCTAGGATTATAGGCAAACTGACCTTTGGACTGGGCCAAACCCTACTTTCCTGGACATCATCAACCTCTGCTGACCTTCTGTATGACAACCC